ATTTCAGAATTATGCGGATTTTTCTAGATTTTTATGTCAATCCGCTCTGGTAGGAATTTACCACTGACCCATTTTTTATTCGAAGACTTTTATATAGTAGTTTAGATAAAGACAGGTGGGGGACGCCGTGAATCAAATTGTTTAAACATTTGCATTTGTTTAAACAATATGAGGCACGTGTAATAAAGAGCGTAAGAATCAATTGCTTTGAATATTTAATGTTCTTTTAATATTATCAATGCGATTTGAATTTTAAATGACAAAAATCGGTTACAAAATGTCTTAAATCTGTTGTGGAAATGTAAATTAAATATTCTTTTAGCAAAAGGATATCAGTATTATCTTGATTTTTTGGATATACATATTTCGTGCGTGTGTGTGTACATAGCAGAGCGAATCATTATTTATTTTTGTTTTTTACAAATCCAAAGTTTGTAGATAACTCAACATTTGAAAACAAATGAAAAGATTTGCGATATAATCGATTTTTTAACCGCGCATTTTAAATTTTTTGTGACTGGTATTTTCATTTTTTCCCCTGCGCGGTCACACTTAAAATGCTACATACACTCATTTACGACTTAATGCAAAGTGCGCCAGCAGAACATACATACAAACATATGTGGAGGCCGTGACGTCACGCATAAGAGAATTGGAAAATATTGGGGACTTGGTTAAGGAGGCTGAATTTCCAAAAAATTTAAATGCAGTTAGTTGCGGCTATGCCATAAGATTATGATCATAATTTTTTTAAACCATTTTAACAACATTTATAACAGAAAAATGGCAAAAGAAAGAATTTAAAAAAAACGAATCGAATTTTGGGGCACTTTGGGGTCGTTTATTGTTTTAATTTGTACCTCACACACGTCTCCTAATTATTTCAGAATTATGCGGATTTTTCTAGATTTTTATGTCAATCCGCTCTGGTAGGAATTTACCACTGACCCATTTTTTATTCGAAGACTTTTATATAGTAGTTTAGATGACAATATCTCTATTTGGGCGCGAGTTTCAAATCGTGGAATGTACACTGCACGTGCCAAAAAATGAGTACCAAAGCTGATAAGGCTTATACAAATTCTCAAATTATTACAAAAATAGTTTTCACTCTACTGTTATTGTTTTTTTGTTATTCGGTAAGTAGGTCGTTTGACCTTGGGAATGTCACACTGCTGTAGTAAAGATGGGCGAAGTGGATATGAAAGGAATCTTCAAATAGCCTGCGAACAACTTGAACTTTACGTTATTTTATTATTTATTGTTCCTTTATTTTCCTCCTAATTCTTGTAGATTTAAAAGTATATTTATTAAGATATCTCAAAAACAACCTATATATGTTAAACTATTATTCTAGTATTATTATAAATACCACAAGTCGGAATTGGGTCATTGAACCCAAGAAAAAAAAACTCAAGAAAAAGACGACGACAGCATTAAAAAACAAAGACCCTCTGAACTGAAGTTTATTTTTGCTATAAAATTGTTAGTCATATAAAGGAATAATTGCGTTTTAATATAATTTTCAAGTTTTTATGACAAATATAGAAACAAAGAAGTTTATTTTAAGCCAAAACAAAGAAGTAAAGAAATTGAGCTTATAATAAAATAATAAGTAAACTGTATTTATATAATAGGAAAAAATAATGTAGCTTCAAAAAATTCGTTGAAATTTCAAAGGTATAGTGTTTTGGAACTACCTCCAGGAAATATGTACTTTTTGATTTCTCTACTCTAATTTCATGAGTAAATTTAAAATGACGTTTGTTTAATCTGTCTTTATATAGCAATTTCACTTACTTCAGTGAATTCTTAATGCATTTGCACTTTTTCAGGGTCTGAGAAATGGCATCAACGAGTTGCATGTTCAGTGACTGAGCAATAAAATAAACTATTAAAAATATCTACAAGCACGCAGTGTGCTAGTAAACAAAGCGAAAATAAATTTAAATCTGTTTTGAATCAAAACATTCGAGGGAGATTGAGAGGAAGAGAGAGACTGGGAGAGCAAAGAGAGAACATGTGGGGCAGAAGATAACGGACAAGGGAGCCCACTCACACACGCACACATTGATAAGCTAGAGCAATTACAGCAACAAAATGTTGTAAGTGAACAACAAGGTAAATAAAGTGTATGTATATGTGTGTATGCACGTGTTGACACTGAAAGCTCTCAACTTGGCACAGTGACACACATATGGTAAATATATATATATTCTCTCTGATCTCTCCACATGCAACAATTTATTTTCAATTTACTCACCTGTCCATTTAATACCGCTTTTAAAGGAATGCTATCAATTATTATGGTATTTCTCGCTTATCAATATTCGTTCAACTTTTGCACTACACTCCGCTTTTGGTTACTCCATTTGTTTTCCGTTTTGATCAGCTTTTCCTATTCCGCTGGGCCTTGCTGCGTGGCAATAACAACAATAACATTTCGCACTCTTCGCGCGCCTTGTAATGAAAACAATAACAGCTCCGACAGGCGATTGCCTTCTCGCTTTTACACTATCACTATCTCGATTTTCCGCTGGCAGATGGAGCAGAGCGACCGTCTCCACCGACGGCTCCAATGTAAATGCGCGAATTGCGCCGTTTTTTCGCTCCCAAATAATGTTGCCCAGGTTCCCCCTACTCAACACCACCCAGCCCCGCCCCCTTTGTCGGTCTCTTCTTCTTCAGCGAGTTTCTCGCTGAGCGAACATAAAAAGGTAAAAATATGATGGATTTCATTACAAACCTGTACCGGCATAAGAGAGTGTGCAATTAATACGCGTATGCTGAATTTTGCTTACCACTTTTTGAGTAATATGCAGTTTCATACATACATTAGTACATAAGCACAAAGAACATTGATATTCTATTAAATACACTAAAAAAAATCATATCATTTTGAAGATTGATATATCCACATTAATATTAAAAAAAGAAGTCCAAATATATAAATCTCTAATTATACATATGTATAAGAAAACAACCTAATATTTTTCCAAAATATTTATTATTCAGTCTAGACAAATAATATAATATATCAATGAATATTTGCCCCAGTGAACTTCTCATGATGATTCTCCAAGGACTTTGATGCTGCCTCTCTCACTCTCGACCTATCTCTCTCGACAAACGCTCTCTTTGCGCAAAGAAAATAATCTCTCTCACTCCCATCCTCCATCCCCAATACTACACATTTCTCCAACTCTCTCTCTCTTTCATGCATTGGCTGACGCAATTCATACGCACTGTTGCCGCATGCAGCGCAATTTTATGAATGGAAAGCAGAAAATGCAAAAGCAACAACCTCAATTGCCACCTGGCAACAGGCAAAGCAAACAACAGGTGTAATTTGCAAACTCAGATCGAGAAAATTAGAAAATTCGCAAACACTGCCGCATCTTAATTGTCTTAATTGGAAATTGATGTGCAACGCTTGGAAGTGCCTGACTGTTGACAAAATACGTACGCAACCTTCAGTTTAGTTGTTACCTCGGTAAAAACAGACGCCTACACAACTGATAAGTGTCTGCACTAAACTTTGATGAAATTGCGTCAGGTAAATATTGGTAAGCATCAGTGGAATTGTTAGACTGAGTGAATGTAATTGAAATACAAAAATATATCTGATAGTAAAAATACAATACTCTTTAAAATCAAGACATTTTGAAAGTGTTGAAAAATAACAGTACCAAATATTTATTTTCTCCCCTTTCACCTTAATGTGACTCAACCAATACCAATTGAATTTTAAAATCTTTTCTATAATCCAATTATTATTATTTTATTAAATAGTTTTGTTTATATTCTTCATGTCAAGTGACAGTAAATTCAATTGTAAGTACAAGTTAATGGTATCCATGGTCGATATAATAAATCTAAGTCTCATTTAATAATTTTTGCTGCATAAGTGTTCCGAGAAATGGAGGATTTACTGTATTTTTTATAGTGTTGCCTGATATATTTAAAACGATTACGGCGTTGCCAGCTCGTTCAAATAAGTTTGCAATGGGCTAAAACGCGCCATCTATGCGGCTTTTTGCTTAAAAATGCGCCACCTTGTGGCGATTTTTAAAACTTAGTGAAGATTTGGAAAGAAGAAAGTTAATTTCAAATCATTTTTTTAACAACTAACAAATCAATATTTTAAGAGTATTCAAAGATTTGTGAATTTAATACACATTTAGAAATCTACTAGTTAGTAACAGAAACATCCAACGGATTTTATGGGTTGTTTTATGGTGAAAGTAATAAGGTAGCGTACCCTCATGCAAAAGCACTCATGCAGCGCGAAAAGTTTTTTATTGAGATTTAAGCTTGGTTAGTATAACAAAAACTATTTATAAAAGAAAGTTATGTTACATCAAAATTTCTATGCGTTAAATACAAAAATTCTGATGATTAATATTATTATTTTTTCCATTTTTTAATACCAATAATATGTTAACCGATTAAGCTTTTTAAATTCTTCGAAAACAAAACCAAGTGCAACTATGTCATTTGACACACATCTTTCAAAACTGTTTTATTAATTTCTTACACAATTACCAGAGTGCCTATAAACACTTTTCCAAAAAAAATTGTTATTTTAGTTAAACAAATTTAAGTAATTTAGTTGGATAGGGTTGTATGGAAGTAATTTATTGATCAAATTTTCAGACCTTTGTTTTTCTACTTGTGAATCAATAAAAATGACGTCCAAGGGAATCCTACAGAAAGTGAGCAATGTTCTCTTAAATAAGTTGTGTTAGAGTAACCTGTTTATTCGCTATGCACTATGATATAGGCAAAAGCGGGAAAACTGCACATATCCACATTTAGTTCAATTTGGATCACCTCAGGTGATAGTATCAGCTTAGAACCCGCAGCGGTACGATGTCTAATATGAAACGGAATATTCTTCTCCTGGCACTGGTGGTGATTGCATTTTTGGGATTCGGAGAAGGAGCAGGTGAGTTAACTGTCCTTGGGACTTTTGAAATAAGAATATCATATTTGTCTTGAATCTGTACGCAATGTTACAAAATTCCCTAAAAAGTATTCGGTTCCAAAGTGCCACAGTGTTGATTTAAAATTCATTTACTCAGCAAAAATATCGGGGTTTATGACCAAATTGTATTGATATTTTTAACGAAAAGGTATATAAGGAATACTTTTTAGACTTGGCTTGTAACCTTTTTGAGCAACAATCTTTTAAGAAGGTTTTAAGTAGAGTACTTTTAAAATAAGACTGTAAAATGAAAAATATAAAATATGTTTTTCTCTCATGCCTAGAGGAGAATATCGTTAATTTCAATGCAGTTGACCAGGTTGACTAGCAGTCTAACCGGTTTAGATTGCTAATCAACCTTAACTGCATTGTAATTAGCGATATTCTCTTCCAGTTCCGGAACAGAAAACTTCGGATGCGGACGGCTCCCAGCCCGGAAACGTGCTGCCCGGTAAAGATATTTGTGGACTCTATTCACCTACGCCTGCCACTAATTCATATGCAGATTTATGGGACTTTCCGTGGATAGCCCGGCTTGCCTACGAAGAAGGTAAGTTAATCATTAAAACTATTTTCAACACAACATAAAAGTGTTATTTAGTTACTCTGAGTCAAGAGGTTTCAATTTAAAGAAAATTTTATGTTAATACTTATAATAATTTGGTAAATTTATTTAATTTTATTGAACCGCAAAACTTAAAAGCCGTCATGTCTCAGTTTTAACTTTAAAACGTTTTACTCTAAATCTTAAGGGTTACAAAAATATGATAATTATTGAATACTTTTTTTAATGAAAAATTATATTTTAACCAATTAAATATTAATATTTATGTACAAATCTAGCTCAAGAAAAACATTCGAAAGTGAAAATTGGAACAGGCTTGTATGGACTTATGATTTATAGATCTATTCAAGCAAAAAACTATATATTGAATTTTTATTAGAGTTTTACAAGCCCTTTGCTATGACATAATGTTTTTCTAGCACATTCATTTTCACAAATAACCATACACTGTCTACTTAATTTAATTTTAAAGAGTTTTTAGATATTTAAACCACCTTAATATAACTCCATATTGTACCAGCTTCTTCCGATGGTAGTGTATTTAGGTGTGGAGGCGCTTTGATAAACTCCCGCTACGTCCTGACCGCCGCTCACTGTCTGCCGAGGCCAGACCTTAGCCCTACCCATGTTCGCCTGGGTGAATGGAACACCAGCACCGATCCCGACTGCGTAACCCGCTTGAATAAGGAGCCCATCTGCGCCCCCAAAGTCATCGACGTGGAGGTGGAAAAGGCTATTATACATGAACAATATCTGCGGAAATCCGTGGACCAGAGGAGTGATATTGCACTGTTGCGCCTTAAGGAGAGTGTCAGGTGTGTGTGTGCTTGGATCTGGTCTTATCCTGTGATTCCATTGACGTTATTATATCCTCCGATAGCTACACCGACTTTGTGCGACCCATTTGCCTGCCAACCGACGAGGAGTTGAGGGACAACTCCTTCGAAGACCAAGCCATGTTTGTGTCCGGCTGGACATCCAACAAGTATTTAGAAACAAGTCCGATCAAGATAAAGAGAACACTCAACGTGTGGAACCTGACGAGTTGCCAGGAGAAGTACAGTTCCTACAAGGTTCCGCTGGACATCTCGCAACTGTGTGCTGGTGGCCAGTCGGGAGACGACACCTGCGTCAGTGGTCCACTGATGGTGCCCTTAGAATCTGGCGGTCATAAGGTGTTCTACATTGCTGCTTTCAGCTCCTACGGAACGAGTCCGTGCGGAATAAAGGGCTGGCCCGACGTTTTTACACGCATCGGAGCTTACGTCGATTGGATACAACAAAAATTGGAGGCATAATCGATAAAGTTTCTCAGCTATCTGCATTTTTCATATCTACAAAATTTGTTTAAAAAGAATTACTATTTAAATAAGCTTTAAAGGAATTGGTATTCGTGTTTCGTTTACATATTAAACTTAATGAGAAATAGAAAAAACTATTTAATGGACGACGATTATTTTGTAATTAATAAAAAGGAAAAAATAAAAAGAAGAAAAAAACAAGTTATGCAGAATCCATTAGAAAAATTAATTCAAATTTTTTTTATATAGTAAAATAAATGAATATTTTTATCTTACGCTATTAAAATCATGCAATAGTTTTGCAAGAGAAGTTTGAATGGAAAATGGATCTTCTAGCCCACTTCTAACGTCGGTTATCCCTAATGCAAATAAAGATCAGGCGTAAAGAAGGCGAGACAGGCGATAATGATTAAATTTACAATTGGGATTATAGTGTGGCAAAACAAATAGTCTTTGCCACCAAAATACCATCAGACCGAATCAAAACAAAACATCCATCAAAGTACGGCGAGCAAACAAAAGCGAGGAAATAAAATAAAATGGAAAAGTGGGGAAGGAAAAGTGGAAAAATTAAAATGGGAAACGCTCGAGCAAACCGCGGGCCTAAGACAAAAGATTTACAATATCGCTGGGGAAGATTTAAAGGTGATTTCCAAAGATATATATTGTGCCTGAGCAGCGATAAATAAACACAACTTTTTGACTATTTTTATTTCGGTCTCTCTTATTTTATTTTTTTGCTCAATTCGGTTTTTCTCGGGAGGTATATTGTCAATGGAAAAGTGGGTGCCATTGAGGCAATTTGAGGGTGGGGACACTCTCCACTAAAAGTGTCACATTAACGAATTGTTCTTCGGCTGCCCCACAGTTAATTTATGCCCCGCACTAATCGCTGTTCAGGTAGAATCGAATTTATTTGATTTCTCTATAAGCGAAATAAGCCTTTCACAAACACGCTTTTCATTGAGCGGAAAATCGGTGGAAACTCATTGAAAATAGAGGGGCGTGGCCTGCGGTAGCGTCCTTCTGCCTTAGACAACCGCCAATGTCGTCTAATGGCGGGGCGCGTCTAAAAATAGGAACCACTCGAGAGCACCGCCGCCAGCCACTCAAAACGCAGCAGCATCCGCGCTCCGAGAGGATCGCGAGCACATCTGGGGGCCCCGAGATCACCGAGATCCCCGAGATCCGTTCTTGGATATTGTCACCAAATGTGTTGCGTTTGCGACGGACGGCGGTACGTACTCTCTGCGACTCGCAAAACGGCGTGAAACGGGAGTCACAAACTAAAGTGGAAAAAGTAATTCCAAATTTAATCAACAAAATTAATATTAAACTCATCAAAATTAAAAAAAAAAGAAATTAATTGTGTGTGAAAATTAGAACACTCCTTATTTCAATACAGGACTCTCTTTTAAAACAAGATTTGAGAGTACCCTTTAAAAACAGAGAATTTCCAGAAAGTGAACTTACGTAAACGAAGTTTTACAAAAGTTTGTAGCCAACAAAATAAGAGTAGACTTACCAAAATAATTTTTTGGGACAATTTATTAAACTAAAATTAACTTAACAGAAGAAACAACTTTAAAGTTGTCTGCAATCTTAAGTTGAACATTATTAAAAAATAAACAAATTACTAGTGGACTCCGAAAAAATGTTGAAAGAACTTTAATTCTGGTTTTTGGAATTATCCTTCCCATGGAACCAGGAAAGTGTAACATCTTACCAAATTATTTATTAAATAAGTAATATAGTTAATAACTTAAAACTTATAAAAACTCGTTGCATAACATTTTAAATCCAAATATATTATAAAAGTAAAGTTTATTGGCCCAAAATGACCAAGTACAATAGTGGAAACAGTGAAATGCCCGCGGGTCACAACATCAAGCAGGAGTACAACAATGGGTATGGCCAGCAATCTCATCCTGGATATGGATACAGTAGCTTTAACCAGCACCAGCAGCCGTCGCATCCCAGCCAGAATCCCCACCAGACTCTGCAGAATTTCTTCAGTCGCTTTAATGCCGTCGGGGAAGCCGGTTCGGGAAATAATGGGTCAACTTCCATCTCTGCCTCCGGATCGGGACTCTCCTGCAACTACAGCCACGGAAACCATCCGGCGGAGATGGACAAGCAGCTGGGCATGAACATGACTCCATCGCCCATCTACACCACCGACTACGACGACGAGAACAGCAGCCTCAGCTCCGAGGAGCACGTCCTGGCGCCCCTCGTCTGCTCCTCCGCCCAATCCTCGCGACCTTGTCTCACCTGGGCCTGCAAAGCGTGCAAGAAGAAGAGCGTCACCGTGGACCGACGGAAGGCGGCCACCATGAGGGAACGCCGGAGACTGAGAAAGGTTGGGAGCCATTACTTTACTCTGCCATAATTGGGGTTTAATTACACTTGTGACTTGTTAAGTTAAAGGATAAGTTGCATTCGTTGAAAAGTGTATAACAGTTAGAAGGAAGCGTTTACGACCCTATAAAGTTTATATATAATATTAAAGTATATATTTTAAATCTGTTCACTAGCTGACTCGATCAACTCATATCGTATGAAAATCGAGATATCGAAAACTATACGAGTTAGAAAATTGCTATTTAATAATAATAATAAAGTGAAAGAATGTTAAAATGAGACATCATTTTCGTGAGGTATATGTTTATTCAAACAACATTTATCGACACACAAAAAGTTTTCCAAACCAAATAATTACTTCAGAAGCGGTCAGCTGAACCCGATAAATATACCTTAACTCTAGATGTGTCAATATCTTTTTTGTTTGCCGCGCCAATACAATTGCAATTAAAGTCATCGGATAATTGAATAAAGGGTATTGGATAGTCAAGGCACTCGACATTTTAGATCTACACAACTATAGTTTAGCTTACCTTCTTTAGAGTCAAGTTTTTAGATTCCATAGCGAATTCGGGAAGTTATGTTATAGTTTAGTTCAATGGTTCAATTATCAATAGTGTGACATGGCCCAGTCGTTCTTTTATATATACTGGCTAATTTAAAAAAATATAAGATTAAGAAAAATGGTTTTAAGAGACGCCTTAACATTTAACTTCTGCTTAAACTTAAAGGTTAACCTATTTTTAATACAAGTAAAAGCTTTACATTGGCAGGTCATATTTAGAGTTGTGTAGGTATCGATAGTGTGACAACGCCCAGTCGTTCTTGTCGTTGCTACTGGATAAAGCCGCTGATTTAGTTTTTAACAAAAATCCTCGCAAAAGTAGTCCTAAAACTTTAAGAAATTAAAATAAATGTGAAGCACAAACAATTTCCAACAGTATAAGCAAAAATCTGAAAATTTGGTTTCTTTAGCTTTGCTCAGACAAAAGGACTTTGAACTCCGGTGTAAATAAATTGAATACCAAATTGAAAAATTCGAAAAGATTTTTTCAAAATGGTTTCCAAAGCCATCATCTTTAGGATCATAATATCTTGAATTTGGGTCTTTTTGTTTTTTGGCTCTAATTTGAGTGTACCTACTTTTTCTGTTGTTTGAAGCTTACATTATTTTGTTTAATCCTATAGGATTACATATATGTAGAGTCTTAAAATAGCTTGTTGTTATATTGAAAATACTTTGTTGCAATGTCATTAGGACCACTGGCACCCCACAAATTAACACATCGCCACTTGCCTTGGATTGCCTGCCCCACCGGGGAGGATCCATTGACATAAAACGCAGAAAGGGAAACCACCCAACGAGTGTAAAACATAAAGATTTGCCAAGACCAAGAGTTAAACAGCGGCATTTATGAGTTCGACAATCGTAAAAGTTTTGGATGAACCACACGTATTTATAGCTCCACATAGAGACATTAGCGAAGGGGAAAGCGGAAAAGCGGGAAAGAGGAAAGGGGCTGTCATAAAGAGACAGACGACGGGCGAACGGTTTAATTGTTGAAAATTTTATGCTCTATTTAATTTAAAATATGTTTTATTAAAGAGCCACTTAAAGGGGAACACGCCTGGGACTGTGTGTTTTTATTGCGCGCCTAATGGATTTCCATGATTTCAACGATGGCCATTAATTGATTATTCTTTTCGCATTCTAGGTTAACGAGGCCTTTGAGATCCTCAAGCGACGCACATCATCCAATCCCAACCAGCGGCTGCCCAAGGTCGAGATCTTGCGCAATGCCATCGAGTATATCGAGAGCCTGGAGGACTTGCTGCAGGTATGTCCAAAGATCTTGTCCCAAAAATCTTAAAACATGGCTAATCGTTATTTCGCTTTCTTTTTGGGATTATAGGAATCCAATCCCACACGCGATGGCGACAACCTGGCGCCCAGTCTAAGCGGCAAAAGCTGCCAGTCCGATTATCTGGTAAGTTTTTCGCCGAACGCCAATTAATATTAAGCCCAGCATCGAGGGGAAATACGTTCCGCAATTATTTTCTCGTAAAATTCTCATGCATGAGCAACGCTTTCGTACATTTTTCTTTGGCGACGCGCACATTCATCAAAATCTCAGGGTCTGGTCGCAGTGCCGAACATGAAAATAGAATATACGGATCCCCGATATCCCCGATGATGTCCCATCCGATATCTGTTGTATCTGCTGACCAGAATTTATGCGTTCGCTGACGTGCGACTTAATAAGCTCCGCTGCTGGGCGATCGTCCTCCTTCCCAGACTCACCCGATTACCGGGAACATTATGAGTTATGATCAGAGGAGTTTGCCTCCATCTGGGCCCCGAAAAGTTTTTCCCGAAAACTTGAAAAAAAAATAGAGGACAAATAGCCGGAGAATTTACGGTGGCAGGGAAAGGGTCGTTGTCTCTGCATTTAGTGAAAGGCAATAAATAAATTTTCTTTTTATAAGCCCGCCCCTGGACTATGAAATGGAAATGGAAAACGTGTTGTAAATTAATTACAACAAATTCGTTTGGCCGGGTTGAGGAGTAGGGAATCGTCATCCCCATGTTTGGGGGATTGCAGCGATCGCTTTTCTGTTTCGTAATAGTTTCCGTACGTCGGGGAACAAAAACCGATGTGGCAGTTGACAAATTGCACAGGAAAAACATGACATGATCTCGGGGTGTTTTCCTCTTCGAAAGGTGTTGCAAGACATGGCTTAGGTGGGGGAAAGTGGGGCAACAACGGGTGCGGGATATACTCCCAAATGACAGGCCAACAAATTGTCAACAATTATGCAAACATTTTTGCCATCTTCGACGCAACGCCCCCTTTTCGTTTCGGGTTGGTCTGCGTTGAGTAATTTCCATGCAGTTTGTTTAAGTTTTTCACATTTTTAATGTACAAATTTGTTAATTTACCATAAAACTTAGCATATTTGTATGTTCACTGCGCCCCACCCATTGGCAGATATTAATGTGCGGCCATAGTTTGATTAAAAACTGGCATCGCGCCAAACGTGCAGACATTCAAATGCATCTCAGACCCTTGGCAATCCATCCATCTCATCCATATCCATTCATTTGGAGCCTGTGTATTTATAAACCTCCGCGATTTAAGTAGAAGATTTCCTTTTGAACTGTTTCCAAGTCAGAGCGTGTATCTTGAGTTCGCTATAAATTCCCTTATCGCCGCCAATAAATTGAAGCACTCCAGATATACAGCGTTAAGTGTGCACGAATTCAAAATGCCTTGCCGTCTATCAATCAGATTTCTACGTAATTGGAACCATAATCATTTAAGTGGAGAGATAAAACTTCTGGGTGCAAATGACTCACTGAAAGATGTGCGTGCCGCGGGTGCACACTTTCCATTGATAACCGCAATGGCTGTGAGTCAGTACTTGATGGGGTTTCCTTCAAATAAGTTTATTACGTTTACAGCAAAATACAAAAATCTGTCATAGATAAGCATATTTTGTATACTTTGTTATCTTGGACTGACCTCACAGCCCAAACTTAATATTTCCCAGGAATTTAACCCAGTTAATAATTATTTTGAAGGTTTGGGTTTCTTGGAAAGCGTTAAAGACTACCATTTTTCACAATTCAAATTCCAACCCACAAAACATTTAACATTTCTATAAACATGAATTTCTAGCAAGCGTTTATTTTGGCTGCCAATAGTGATTTTTCTCAAATGGATTATGGGATTTTACGAGTGACCGCAGCACTCATAAAAACATGGCAATATTTCCAAAGTGGGTTTAGTATATAAAAAGCATATTTCATGGTAAAAATTCGTGCAGCTTGGGAATAACAAATCGCATAATGCCGCATATCCGTTACATGCTCGAAGATCGGTGGAGAACTTCTAAGAGGAGCGCGCCAAAAAGCGGCTTAAAATCTTTACGCAACTCGAAAAAATGGAATGCCCAAGTGATAAGTGGCATTTCATTCATATACAGCGCATGATATATGCCCGAGTTGCTCGGGAAAATGAAATACACCGAAATTCCATATAGACATACAAACAAGTACACCGAAAAAAGTTTGAATATTAAAGCAATTTGTCAGGGGAACAATTTAAATTTGTCATAAAAAACAAATATATATTTTTTTGTGATACAAGCGTATTTAGTTTTCATTCCGAATTTTATCAGTTTACATTTTGGTGCGTGAAATGTTATAATTGAAATTATAAAATGGGATGTACCCTCATTTTGTCTAATTTTTTTCGGTGTATCTGTGTGTAAGTTGTCGTATATCGAGCGCAGGCTGTCACTAAACGCTTGGAAAATGATAAATCGCTTTATAAAAGTGCAGTGTGAGTTCGTCTGTTCTCGTTCAGTTTAGTTCAGTTCACTCGGGTTGAATTCTGTTGTTCTGTTGCTCCTCCGTACTTTGTTGTTCGCTAAATATAAACGAACACTATGTGATGCCCTGTTTTTCCCGATCCTTGTAGACGGAATGACGGCATTATAGTTGCACCAGATGGGGTAGGGGTAGGGGAGATGAGGGATGAGGGATGAGGGAAACCCACCCAGAAGTGGCAATTATAATTTGCTTAGCATCGGCGTTAATGCGAATTTTTCTAGTGAAATCCCTAGCGCATCTCCGTCTCCGGATGCCCTGTCGTCTGCGTATGCTAAGCAAAAATATAGCATCAAATTAATTTAATTGGTAATAAGTGTGCACACAATGCCCCACAAAAACGCCGCAGACAATGCACCACTTTTGCCTGCAGTGGTTCAATGCATTTTAATTGGCCTGTGGTATCTTTACTTGCATAAATTTTGGCTTAATCTCATCATTAGACTGCATTTCGTATGGCACTTGTTGGCCAAGTTGACAGGCCCGGAGCAATTTTGACGTTGTCATTTCGCCTCGCGACACTTTTGTGTAATTTATTGTTTCCCCCAATTTCGCTTGAGGCCAACTAAATGTTTATTTCTTTGATATGTTCTTGCTTTCAGAGCTCGTATGCCGGGGCTTATCTGGAAGATAAACTCAGTTTCTACAACAAGCACATGGAGAAGTATGGTCAATTTACGGGTAAGAGGGTCAAACACCCATCACTGATGGACATCCAAATATTTACATTGAATCACCACCAACAGACTTTGACGGCAATGCCAATGGCTCAAGTTTGGACTGCCTAAACCTAATTGTCCAGAGCATCAACAAGAGCACCACGAGTCCCATTCAAAACAAGGCCACGCCCTCACCGGCAGATTCCAAGACGCCGCCCACATCTGGAGTGCCTGCATCCACATCTCTGCATGCGAACTTCAAGCGGAAGTGCAGCACCTAGCATTAAGTCCCAAAACCCTTAGGCAATTGTAAAGATATTTTTAAGAGGATACACGAGATACCCAGTGACCCAGATAGGCCTTAAATTATTTGTATAGCCCTAGCACTTAATTAAACGATAATTCAAACAGCGAATAGAGTCTTTAACTTAGTCGAGCTCCAGTTTGCGGAAGGAGCCGCTCATCCCGTCCAGCTCTCCATTGGCCCAGGCACTGGACAATCCGACGCGGAGTTTCTCATTGGTTCCGTACTGGGCGTCCTTGGCCAGGTAATCCTTGTAGTCCTGCAGCTTCTGGCGCCAGTAGTCCACAGACTCCGCCTGGTAGCCATTGGTTCCTCCATACTCGATGGTCATCGCATCCCTGGGCAGGTGCTGGTACAGATCCTCCGACTTTTTGTGCACCACGAACTGTGAAGAAGGAAATGGGCGTGGTTAATATATGATCTTGGTATTCATTATTTCGGATTTCCTTTTAAGTATTGCCCTAATAATGGTGCAGCTATCTTGTTTGTCAATAACATTTACAAACTGATAAGAATCCAATAAAAGTATTGAATATCTAAACATAAGCTGAATAAAATGAAGCTTTTTTTTACCACATTTATTTATAAAATTATTGCGCATGATTAATTGAAAATTTTTGTTACTATCAACGAATATTCTACACATATATATAAACAATGAAGTAGTACTAAACATTATTACGCAAATCAATAAAAACCTATTATCAGTTTTAAAGCCTCTTTAAGTAAGCATAACAAAATCTTCTTGATACTTGATTGATTTTACTCTTATTTGCTTAGTCTGTTTAAAAATAGACCTAACAAATTAAACATAATATATTATATAATGACTCACCTTAAAAGGTAATTTGGAGGGTAAGAACTTTGTTACAAAGTTGAAAATGGTCTGTCCTTCCTTTCGCATATTTATCATATGAATCTCCACAAATCGCAGTGGGATACACTGATCCACCAAGGCGAAGGCCTTCTTCAGCAGGAAAGGATCGTATTGCAACATCTGCTCCATGGTCACGTCCCGAGCATCCACCACCCACACCAGCCCGGAAATGGAGGCATTATCGCACTCCAGGGCCAGTAGCTCCAGCATGATGAAGACCAGTTTGAAGGCCTCCCGGGGATTCGACTTCTTGGGATCGATGTTCCGGAACTGCGAGATGATAACCCTCGGTCCCTCGGGACTCACAGGTCGCGTGGGTATCACGTGGATCCTGGGGATTGGGGAAGTAAATTAGTCATTTGTATTACAAAATACCTAAATTTATTAAAAGGGAAATTAAGTTTGTGGTAGTCTTAATTACTTTGAAATTTGTAACTTAACAAAGGTCAGAACATTTTTGATAGTCATATTTGCTAACTTTATAAAGCCAGCACGAAATTAATTTCCAGCAAGTAATATCCATAGATAGTGAGTGAATAAATTATTTTTATCATTACCACGATAAAGATGTTCATTATTTTGACACTACTGATTAGAAAGGTGAGTTTAAAATAATATAAAATTCCGGCTAGACCAGATATGTCTTTATAGGACAGGATTCACAACCCACCCTCTTTGCAGCTGGGTGAGCAGGGCCTCATCCACCTGGCGAGATCCCAGGACCTCCGGGAACACGCTGCGCAGGGAGTAGTAGTTGTCGAAGCGCCGCTTGGTCTCCTCCTGGCTGAATCGGCAGCGTCGCAGGAAGGCCAGGATCAGCCGCTCATCGGTGGGCGCCTTGAGGTGCGGCGACTTGGTGATCCACGTCTGGATGGTGGCTACAATCTCGGCGCGCTGTGCCTGCTCCTCGTTGCACTCGCTCTTGGCCAGAGCCGCCAGTTGGGGGTCGAGAGGTCTCAGGTGGGTCGCCATTCCGGCGCTCGTTTCAATGCTAACTAAATGCCAAAACCACCGAGGCACCGCCGTGGTCGAGGTGTTGGTGGTGGCTTTTGCAGAGGTGTTTGTGGCGCTATCTAATCGGGGCAACACCTTGTTAACCAGCTGGAACGGCAACCCGAAGCCCACGGCAGGCGAGTACATACAGATACACGAGTGCATAGATAGGTGATAAGTGGGCGTTATCTTTAATTGATCGACTACAGCAGAGCTTGGAATGTGTATATGGTAGGTGTAGGTGGGGCAGACTTCCTGCTTCCGGGTCATGGTCAGTCCCAGTTCAGCCGGCGGAAGGAGCCACTGGCCCCGAACTCGGCCTCGTAGGTGGCAATCTCGCCGGGACGCAGCTCCTCGATGGTCCCGTAGTTGCAGTCCTGCTCGAAATACCCGCGGTAGCTGTTCAGCAGGTCCTCCATGTAGGCCACGCACTCACCCAAGTGGCCATTTGTGCCACCGTACTCCTCCGGCAGCGAGTCCTTGCCAATGTGCTCGATCAGCTCCTCGCTGTTCTTCAGGACGCGAATCTAAAATGGCAAATGGATAAGGAAATGTAATGATCATCATCATAATAATTGATATTATTAAATATGGAAAATTTTTAATTTATTATTATATTATTGAGTAATACGCACAAATACTTTATTTGATTTTTTTAAGTTCTTCATGTTAATAATTAATTAATTATTTTTAGATTGCCTTGTTTTAAAACTACTAAAATGGAAACCAGTAAAAATAAATAATTATAATTGAATATATATTTCGAAGCTGTCAATGGAACTTTCAATTAATATAATAAACCCATTTTTAAAACAAAATTGGAAATGAATATAGTTTTTGGTACGAAAGGAGAAAACCAGCAAATTTTCAGGTAAGCCTATGGCTTATAAAATTGAGTACAAAATAGTTTCGAAACCTTTATACACACCGGATAGTTGACCTGCATGCTGAGCACGTTGTACAGAAACATGACGGTGCCCTGAATATCCTTGGGCATGTTAATGATGTACATCTCCTTGACCTTCAGGGGACTGCAGTTATAGAGCCAGTTCCACCACTTGCGAAATAGAACCCTGTCGAATCGGCGCATCTTGTCCGAATTGACGCCCTCGAGGTCAATGATTTCACAGATTCCCGCCAAGGAGGCGTGGTCATTCTCCAGCGCTATCACCTCCATGGCCATCGCGGAAAAGTGATAGATCTCGCGCAGCATGTACAGATTGGGGTCAAACTGGCCAAAACGGGTTATGAACATGGCTGAACGACTATCTCCCTTGGGCATATCCGGATATAGGCAAATTCTGGAAGAAAAATCATACATTTTAGGTAGCTTGGCCAAGACCTAATCAATCTTCATTAAAAAAACCAAACAACAAAGAAACAAAATCAATAAAATAATAATTATTGTCGGTTTTACCAGTTCTCTGGTTGCTTACACTTGAATGCTTTTATATACAAATTTTAAGTTGCTTATTTTGTTAATAGTTATTTGAAAACTATAAAATTGAGAATGATTTTGTTATGGTTAAGCTTACCCCAAATCATTAAAATAATAATTATTGACAGTTGTACCAATTCTATGGTTGCTAACCTTTGAATGCTTTTATATACATATTTTATGTTACTTATTTTATGTTACTTATTTTGTGAACAGTTCTTTAAAAACTATAAAATTTGAGAATGATTTGGTTATGGTTAGGCTCACCCCATGCGATTGATGTCCAGGAGTCGCTGCGTCACACAGCGATTGTTCATGATCTCCGGGAAGAGGTTGTAGTGGGTGAAGTAGCGGTCGATGCGGCGCTTGGTCTCCTCCAAACTGTACCTGCAGCGTCTCAGGAAGGCGATCAGGAAATCCACATCCGTGCGGGCGCGCAGGTGCGGCTGCTGGCGAATCCAGACGCGGAGGATGATGATGTCCTGCTGAATCCGGTCGGGCGTCTCATTCACCTCCTGCTCGGCCAATTTGGCCAAAGTCGGTGAGAGCGGACGTCGCATTTCGGTAACGGCTTTGCGGTGTTTGATGGCATTTGGCCCCAGCGATGATATATCTAATTTTGACTATTTCCCTCTCGATCTGATGGTGGGTGGCCCCCTAATCTAATCTTATCGGCCGAGCAAATCGTATTGGGGAAACACACCCGCATCATGGTCGGTATCTATACGCATTTGTAACTTGCACTTTTCTCCAGACTGAAATTGGGATATTGGTAGGTAGACATGTAACATGCACATCCGGCGCCTTTCTGAAGAGATCTCTTAAGTGCCCTTCTCGTACACACTTGGGAGATGGATACACTGCGATTAAATTAAATGTGTTTTTAAAATTGAGAAAAAATACTTTTAAAATGTACACTTACTCCTTAAACCATGAGTAATTAGCTAGTTAATATAGCTATTAATTTAATTGTTAAAATAATAATAAAGTTTGCACTTAACAGTAAAAGCCCTTTTCCAGGGTTCCTTATAATAAAACGAAAAATTATAAGCAGTGCATCAAAATATGTAACAAATTGTATAATTGGTATTAAATTATAAGTAAAAAAAAGAATTTTATTACCCTTGCTTTTTCTTTAAGTTATATTTTTAAAATACATAAGCTCATTTTGTTCTATCTTTTTCTAAATTGTAGGAAATTTTTAAAATTTGTTTGTCTTTTGCGTATAGTTTTAAATACGACAACACTATGCTATAACTTTATTATTTCTTCAGGATTTCCCTTTTCCGCTTAGTGCACGAGTACTCTCTTTTGAAATGCGATCTGCGTTTAATGCCCGAAATAAATCTAAGGCTAAATAGTATCCAGTTCGCAGTGAGCATTCAATTTGAGTGGCTGTCAGAGGGCATTACCCAGCGACATCTCGGGAAGGTGGCGATGCGCTGTTGAAGTTGACATGGAACACCTACGGCCGAGCAAATTGCTGTGACATGGCGCTGTCAGCTGCTGACAAGCCGGAGAACTGGCGATCTGGGATGTGGATTTTGTGGGAGGCGGGCTCCCAGGAAGCGGATCATCTTGCCACTGGCGGCACTCCCACCCCGCCAATAACTCATAACACATTATGGCCATGGGACTTCGGGCTGAGAACTGCCACTTTGATCTTGCTGCTGACAGGGCAGCGCGTGTAAATTCCCTTCGCAGGCAGCTCATTGCTCATGACACAAACATATCGTTGCCATATTAATAATGAGCCTCATTAACAGCTCGCTGCAGTGCACCATCGCACTCGACACATTGCCCGATGTTGGCACTTTCTTGTTGCAAGGCATGAGGATGGGGGTATGTAATTGACACGCTCATTGCTGATAAGTGTATTTTGTTGTAAGCACTTCAGATATGCTCGCAAACCCTCGGAATGCATATGCTGCACTCGGCGAAAGTGATGGATGCCATAAGGAATGGCAGGGAGCATCTTAACCCAGAAGGATGGGGAATTGATGTCACCGAGAGCGGGTTACTGACGACTCGATCAATCTGTAACACTCTGTGGTTGTTTAAAGTAACACTTGTACTCAAGTGCTGTGCTAAAGTACTGGGATAAACTTAAGACAACGTTGAAAACCAAAAGATTTAAAACCCTTCATTAATAATAATTAAAATTTGTATTTATATGGTATATATTTTTCGAGCTTAGAACTGTTTTGGTCATTGATTTATTAGTTTGTTTTCATTTTTGGATTTATTTAAAAGTAACTTACAAATAAGATATTTTCCAATATTTGTTTTAAGGTGTGCCAAAATTTTGAAATCATTTTATCTATAGAATGTGTTTAATTTATTAAATGTGTTTATTTCTTCTTAAATCTAATATTTATTTCTATTATTTTTATTTAGGATTTTATTCATTTTATTCATTTTGTCAACTTGTCAAATAAAAGTATTATTAAATAGTTGAAGTGCAGATATGTATATTAAATATAAAGCAAAATGGAAGCGCATCGCTGCAATGACGCTGCCACAACCAACATTCATATGGGTTTATAAACGTTTCAAGTTTTAAATTTATAGTCAAACATAAAACGCCCCATTTTGTGCGCCAAGTGCGAGGGAGAGCGGGAAAAGCGGGGAAATGGGAAAATGCATTTGCTTGGCGCTCAATTGACAATCATATTTATAGAGCATATTGAACAAATAGACCGGGCCCCGAGCACTAGCCCAAAGATAATATTCGAGCGAGAGGCATTTGTGTCGGTTGGCCGTCGTTGCCGCTCGACTGGCAGTTGTCACTCAACTTGATCCGAGATATGTTCCTATATAGTATAGAACATGCATGACGTTTGTACTTTGCCGTTCCCCGGCCCCTCGCACACAAAATTAAACGGCAAATGAAATTTCATTGTAAACATACGCGTTCCGGCAAATTGAGTAGCTTAAACAAATTTCCGCTGTCTCCGCGTCACATCCTTGTGTTCGAATCCATACCCATTATCCTGCTCATCCTATTGAGTTCAATTTATTGGCTTCCGTTGTGTTCCCGTCACTTGAGCCTCAATTGGTCCTTTGGGCAGCGGCAGCTGGACTCCTTGCTTAACTCCTAGCTTAAATTACTATATAGTTGGGTTCCGGGAATGGGAATGGGAATGGGATGGGGAACGGGAAATCCTTGGCTCACTTGTAGAGCACCGTGTGCCAGGAGCGCGGCGGCAGACGGAGGTTGATCGCTCCACGCTGGCTATCGCTGAGGGCCACATCCACCGGCACGTTTTGGCTGCAAGATTACAAGAGCAGGGACTTAGAAACCCAGAAGAAATCGGCGGAGCAGAGTGCAGGGCCTCCATTAGAGGCATTCATAAAAGTGAATCGCAACGTTGTCGGCAATTAAGTTGACGCACTTAAGCGGCACCGTCGCAGATGCAACCAAAAATAGATGCGCATGCAGTACTTGGCAACAACGCTCGGATATGAAAGAAATTACTCTTCTTGTTTGATATATAAATTTATAAATCGGTCTACATTTACTTGAGCGATAGGAATATAAATTTTCCTAATATAATAGGTTGTTAATTGAAAATGTAAATCATATCTACGACTTATTAACAGTTTAATTTTAAGTTATTCCAATTATATGCTTGCGTTTTAAGGAAGAGTTTCTTGTTTGCATTAACTCATAAAACATATAGAGGGAACAGCTTAAATCTTTATATAAAGATTGATTCTAAATATTATGTATTGGTACTTCACTAATTAAAATGATTATATAACTGATTTATCCAACATTTTAGATACACAAGTACTCGTAGTCGAGCGTCTATATACTTTAAGAAATTACTTTGGTTTAATTAAAACAAAACTTTTTCCCTTATAGAATTTGCTCTCTAATTTTGTGTTCTGGTTCTACTCTTATTTCCCTTCTGACTATTTGCACAAGCTATAATTTGTACCTTTATTTGGCCAATTGTTTTTCCATATGCACTTACCCATTGTAGATGATCAACGCCACATTGCCGTCGGGTCGCAGGAACCCCACAACGCTCAGCGGGGTGAAGGGATTTGCCAGGTTCTCGATCTTCGCCTCGATGCGCACCGATTGGGGCGGGACAAACTTGGAGAAGTGCCCTATGGCATAGAAGATCGGCTGTTTGTAGATCTCGATGCGACTGGTGGCATTCACTATGATCGGAGCGTCCACATAATTTTTCACGTAGTTGGGGCCGCCTTGTTCGTCCAACACCAGGTTCCAGTCCACCCAGCCGTTGAAGGAGTGCCTAAAGTCCTGCGTGTAGGCCCTCATGTAGCTCTCGCCCCGCTGCCAGCTCCCCAGTACCGGTCCATTGGTTTGCCAGGGCTTGTCCCCGATGCAGGACTCCGTATTCAGGATCATCTTGTCTGGCAATTCCGAGTGCGCCTGGTCGATCAGCTGCGGGAAAAACAGGTCGTCCCAGTACCAATGAACGGCCAGGCCATCCAAATAGGATAGCGAATTGTTGCGGGCGGAGCGCATCTAAAGGATTATTTAAGTATTTTTAATTTTATTTACATATTTCCTCTGTTATTGGTAAGTCTTTATGTTCAAAAACTATATTATAGTGTTTGATGATCAAGCCTATATATTCAAAAACTATAATATTATGTTTAAAAGTACAATTTTTTCACGATCAAAACCTTCTCAGTCTTGACCAAGATAAAATGTTTGTTTTCTAAAGAACGAATAATTTTCAAATCAATTTGCTTAAGAATGTATTGGTAACAAAGAAGTAAAGCAAAATAAATACAAAATGGTAAGCTGAATTGTATAAAATTAGTTTGGACTTAAAAAATTAAATGAAATACCTCGAGTGATTTAAGTTGGTATGATATTTTCTCAAACTCGTACAGGATTAATGATATCTTTTAAATTTCTCATACCTTTCTGAACCACAAGGGAAATGTGTAGCGCTGGTCGTCATTGCCAAAGATGAGCACCTTGCTCTCCGCCGAGTTCCTGATGGTCGGGCCCAGGTTGTCGTTCAGCCAAATAGCCTGGCCGAAAAAATGTCGACATGCTTAATAGCCAGAATCGTGATCGATGGCCAATGGCCGATGGCCGATGGCCAAGTCGCAATGGCTCATACCTGCTGCCAGGGCGTCCAGCCCATGCTCATGAAGTGCACGAAGAAAATGCCGATGACGCCGTTTAGCGGCTCATTGCCGGTGGATATGGCCCAAATCGGCATATTTTTAGCCCGCATGAGTTCGAGAAATCTGCAAAGGCATCGGGTCTCTCATAAATGGCAATAGCATTGCATAGTATTTTCTCACTTGAGGTGGTACAGAGCCCAGATTTGGTAGTACTCCGATTTCAGCTGCCCGAATCCTGTCCAGTTATCGTTGGTCTTCATCCAGCGCGGGGCACTCCAGGCGGCGGCCATGATCTTCAGTTCATCCAGTTCACCCACTGCCTTTAGACGATTCAGCTGCTCGATTTTCAGCAGATCCCTTGGATCTAGTTCTGTGAAGTTACTTAATTTTAGATCGTTTCGAGGCCACTCATTATAGGCCCAAGGCTCCAAATCGAAGTCACAACCACCAATAGACATCCGAACGGTGGAGTACGCAATCCCATCTTGATGGTAATACGATCTGTAATAGGAATGGCTTGTAGTTAAACATTTCCCACGATATTTTACACTAAAATCTCACTTGTAAACGTGATCCTGTAGCTCTTCTGGCAATAGATTGAGCAAATGGGAGACTGATCCTGTTAACGCTCCTCCAAAAATGGTGACATTCTGAAATTGCACATCTCGTTTCACGGAAATCCGAACTGTGCTAGTGCTGGCATTGATAACTGAAACAATATAAATAATCATAGGTTTGTTTAAAGTAATTTTGGAATTACATACACAGGCGTTGGGGAATGTTTGCCAACTGCAACCAGGCTTTGTACTGATCCACCACAATCGCCTCTGCATTGAAGTTCTCATCAGTAAATTGTTTATCATCTACTGTTATAGGTGTACCATCCGAAAGATTCCCCGTTGTCTTCTTGAAGCGTAAACCATCCTGAAATAATTTTATTTTTTGTAAGATCACAGATACTCAGTTTTTTAAATATTTCATAATTGAAAAGTTTTGGTTGTTCTTAGAAGAAAAAAAAAGTATTGTCATCCTACTTGTACTTTTGAAACGAAGCAGTTCGAAATCTGTATTCTATGTTCAACAGGCATCCATTTTAAAAGTAAAAGTAGAATAACAATATTATTTATTTATTATTTTCTATCTAATCTAACAAAATTTTTTTTTCTGACAATCAATTACTTTTTTAAAGAAGTTTTTTATAAGTGATAAGAAACCCAAACGAAATGTATTTTTAGCTTTTTTGTTAAATATTCAACATTTAATTGCCACCGAAGTGCTATTGCTGTGACCGCGAGTGCAGGTAATCCTGCTCACTCACCTTGCTGGAGCTAATCAGCACAATCTGCGAGCTATCAGTGAGCTCGGGTTGTTCGAGGTAATCGCAGTAGGTGCTGTTGCAAACGCACACGCTCCCATGAATCGTTTCTCGCAAATCGCAGGGCAGTTGGTTTTCTGGTTCACCTGCAACACATACATATTTATATATTATACATTTTCGGTGTCCAGCAGGTAGGCGTGAACTTATTGTTTTTTTTTCACTCACCTGCACAGATTACGACCGCTGCAAAAAGAAAGCAAATCCAGAAGGTCTTCATTTTTGCACTAACGCAGAAACAATGCGATCCGTTCAAAGGCCCGTCCACAACTGAGCTCAAAACGAGAGCGGCTCTGCTTTCGGACAATCAATCCACCGAATTTCGCTCAACTTGGTGTTTATGTTTTCGAACGCCACTTAACCCGGGCCAGCTGATGATTTGATAAAGACCGGACCGGCAAATAGCTATAGTCGGCAGTCGAGGCGATCCCACTTGGAAATCGGCGCACGCAATCAAAAGTAAAAGTTATGCGAACCCAGGGGCGTAGTGGGAACCACAAAGGGGCTTGATTAGCACAAAAAATGTTAAGCTAGTTTACCTTTTAACCTGCATTAAAATATTTAATTCTTATGTGGTGGATATTTTAATAAAAATTATATAATAACATTTAAAGAAGAACAAATTAAAATTATAAAAACTAATTTATTTGTGCTTCAAACTTGTGTTACATAATTTTAAGGTAGCGTTTTCTGTTTTATTTAATGTTTGTATTGGTGATGATAAAGAATGAAAATATAAAATACAGGATAAGCATATAAATTAAATTATTGGCTATGGAAATATTTAAATTATGAAGTGTAGGCATTTGCTGATGCCATTCCGAACCAGCTGAGATTTTCTTGGCAATAGATGTGCTTTAGATACTTTAGCACTTCATCCATTCGCCACTTGGACTGGTGATCCCGACAGCTGGGGCAATCTTTTTTGCTTGGAAACTGAATCTTTGGGAATTTGGGATCCTCAGTGGAACCGCCGGCCAACTGCCTGTTGATATTATTATGGGCTTCCCACAGCCAAAGTATCTGGGCGTCCTTGTTGCTTATGTCAGCAAATGGTCGAAGCGTCTCGAATTGCTTAAACTTCTTTCGGCACTCTTTGCACTCCATGAAAAATTTGACATATCCCTGAAAGACCAACAAAACGGAACCCGCATCGATGTGTCCCGATTCCACGGTGAGATAGTGGAAAAGTGTCCAAAGGGAGCAGTCGAAACCACGCAGAAAAGGACGAGAGGCAATGCAACCAATGTATAGCTTTCCGGGAAACTTATAATCCTTGAACGATTTCCAAATCAAATTCTTTAACTCGACTCCCGAAAGTTTTTTTTTAACTCTCATCGCATAGTATAGACTTTTTATCTTTTCTTTTGCTTCTGGACGAAGCGGACTTATGTAGTTGAGCAGCCTTAGAAAATTTCGCAGGACAGTTAGCTTTTTTCCCACAAATAGTGATGTTTTGAGGAGCTCCACGTTAAGGATATGGTCAATAGCTATTTCCAGATCGGCTCGAAAGACTCGATGCGGTTGGTGCTTAAGTTGCTCGAATATCTCGTACCGCAGGGCAGCATTGATGTCGGCTGGCAAGGGTTTTCGGCAGTGGACTCTGTGGCTTGTAGTCCATAAACTTGAGGAACTGCTCGATGGCGGCCACATAGGCCTCACTGGAATCCATCTCGGGGGTGAGGAACAGCATTTTTCCAGCTCGATTTACGAGTATTAGCAAATTTGGTACTGGTGATATGCCGAAGTTGTTGTATATATCATGATCATCGAAGACGCGCACTACGATTTCATCATAGCGCAGCAGTGCGAGTAGGGTGTTCCTGCCAATGGCCGAAATTACCGGATTTTCATCATTGCAATCGTCCAAGTGGGCGTACTTCTCCTCCATGGAATGCCCGGTCTCGAAGTGCGGATAGAAATTGGTCATGCACATTTGGAAGACCAAAGCAACGTACTTTACGTATTTGTAGTTTTCAAATATATGCGTCACATTGTCCTCCCGCTTCAACATATTAAAGTACTTTAATGTTTGGAGATTTAATGCCAGGGTCGACGCAATTTCCTTGACATTCCGACTGGTGATCTCGGTGCCCAGATCGTCTGGCTTTCGAGTGTAATTCGGTGGAAAGTATCGCAGCGTAGGTGTATTACGGATATCGAAACTACGGCAAATCTTGTGATTCGTGTCCTGTGAGCAATCGAGCACGTGGACCTTTAGTATGCGTATCCACTTGTAAAGTTTACGGGACAGATTCCTGAAGGCGGGTATAAATTTTTGGGTGTCCTCACAGAATCCGTTGTAGAACTTCACCAGCTTTGCCGCTGTTGACTCATTAAGTTTAGTTTCCAATGTTGCAAAATCGAGCTCCTCTACATTGTCTTCTGGCTTATAAAGTAACTCGTTCGCGAAAAGTCCACAGGAAAACAGAAAGATGCACAAAATAATTAATAAATCTGACGTACTTTGCGCTCGATTCATTTCTACACGATGTTTTTTAGTCAACTGATGGATCATATTAATAAATCTTGTTTGCTGCGCTTAAAGTACCGACTTAAATGTGTGAAAATCGTAATTTTACAGATGCAAGATAATCGCAGAAATTGGGTGGGCTCAGACCTTACATACTTTTATCAGGGTAAAGACTCAATCTGCTGCAAGCGTAGTCCGTTTAAAAAAGAAATATATAAAAAATGTAAATAATAGGATATTTTGATCTTAGTTTGACCCTACCAAATCGTTTACTCAGAAAAACAGTAACTATTTGTTTATATTTTCTCATTTTTCTCTTTATTTTCTATTGTGTTACTTTTATTTGGGGAACACCATATTTTAAGTTTTAGTAAGGCCTGAAAGTAGACTTTAACTATAATAAACAGAAACGCATTGATAATAAACAGTGGGGCTTACTAAATATTCTCCGTTTGCCATCACAAAATAAATATTAATAGTCCTTTAAAATTTAATATTTTTTTAAATGAGGTGTTATTATTCGCTGGTTCAAAACATTTTTTAAAAGCTATAACAGAGCGGATCCAAGTAACTTCATACTTATGCAAGACGTTAAAAAGTTGTAATTCACATAGTTCAACGTATGTTTTGTTTTAAAAATGTATTTTATTCATTTTTTTTCTTCTCAATTTTGTATTTAATTATCAAAAATTGATTTAACTGTAGAGCAAGGTGTGAATGGACTTGGCCGGAACATTGACGATGAACTGACCCCGTACAGTGTCCACCAGAGTGATGTCCAGATCAGCGCGACCGCTATTGAATAGAACAGCGGCGATTTTGTTGTCCGGTCGTAGGAAAGCCACCGAATCCAGATTGACGTTACTGGGCACGGCATCTATACGAACGGATCCCTCCGGAACCAGTTTGGAGAAGTGACCAATGGCGTAGAACATGGGCTGCTTGTAGAACTCCTCGAAGGCTGCAGGGAAAGCAATTTGTTATTTAATGTGTGTTTTACGGATGGTTTATGGATTTCCTACTTGTGGTGTTGACAATGACTGGGGCATCCACTGTGTTGTCCACATAATTGGGACCGCCCACCTCGTCCAGAGCTATATTCCAGTCGATCCAGCCGTGGAAGCCCAGTCTGATGTTGAGCAGGTAGTCACGGGCGTACTTCTCGGCCCGTTCCCAACTTCCCAGCAGGGGAGCAGCGGCCTGCCAGGGCTTGTCCCCGATGCACGACTCCGATACTATCATAATCTTGTCGGGGACATATTCCGTGGTCTGCTCGATAAAGCTGTTGCCGAATATTTCATCCCAATACCAGTGCAGCGCTAATCCATCCAAATAATCAATCGAGTTAGGGCGAGTACGGTTCATCTGAAAATATGCGCGATAAGGATTTGAACTTTGAATTTTAGTTCTTACTTAGTTAATCATGCCTATTTTTAAATTGTTTTTTTTTCTATTTAAAGTTTAAATTTATTTGTTATCCGTTTTCTTTGCAATTTAATTTAATTTAATTTATTAATTTAAGTTGACAATTAATTTTATTCAAGGTTAGATTGTCCTACAGATACTTTTAAAAATTGAATAAAAGTCTTTAGGTGGTAAAGATTTAGCTTGTGATGAAAATAGTATTCCATAAATTGGTTCATAATTTAAGTATTTAAGTTGTAAAGACTTAGTTTGTGATAAAAATAGTACCCTATAAATTGGTTCATAATTTAAATCTATTAAAACATTTTCTTTTTCTTTGCAAACTTTAATAATAAAAAATGTAGATGTGAATTTTGTAAAATCTGTTTATCTAATTTTTAAATATTTTTTAATTCCACTTCTATTTAATAATAATATTCTGCACTTACCATTTTAAACCAGTGCGGGAAGGAGTAGCGTTGGTCATCATTGCCAAACAGGATGATGTCCTTGAACTCGGAGTTACGGATGGTGGGGCCCAGATAATCGTTCAGCCAAATGGCCTGGGTCTGTGGCGTCCAACCCATGCTCATGAACTTTACGAAATACATGAAGAAAATTCCATTCAGTGGCTCATTGCCCGTGGAAATGGCCCAGATGGGAATGCCATTGTCCTCCATCAGTTTAATCCAGCGCAGGTGGTAGTCGGCCCAGGTCTGGTAGTAGGCCCTCTTGAGGCGCCCGAATCCTGTCCACCTACTGTTGGTCTTCATCCAGGGCGGGGCACTCCAGGCGGCGCCTTTGACCAGCAGATTCTTCACGCCGGACACCTCGATGAGGCGCTTGATCTGCGCCACTCGCTCCACATCACGCTCGTCCAGTTCGTCCATGTCCGAGAGCAGGGTGTTGCCCTCCTCCTCGGCGTAGGACCAGGCCTCCAGATCGAAGTCACAGCCGCCAATCGAAACGCGCATCAGATTGAATCCCAGACCCTCCTCCGCGTAGAAGGACTTGTAGAGATGGTCACTCAGTTCCGACTGCTTGAAGTTCTCCACCAGGTAGGACACGGCTCCGGTGAAGCTGCCCCCGAAACCAACCATCTTCTGGTAGGTCTTGGTCCTATTCAATCGCAGGGTCACCGTGCGGGTGATGGAGCTCTCTCGGGACTCCAAGGTGAAAGCGCTGGCCACCACCTTATCGAGCAGGCGGGACAGGATCGTTCCATTCGCGGCCTCTGGAGCAGGCTCCACATAATCCTGCACCGTGACTTTCTCCCCAGTGCCGAATTTATCACTGGTTGTGGAGAATCGCAAGCCCTGCTTGGAGCTGGAGATCAAGAACCATTCGTTGTCCTCTGTCAGGACAGGATTATCCAGATAGTCACAGTAGTCCGCCGTGCAGACGCACACCTTGCCGTGCTTCTCATCCTTCAGTTTGCAGGGGATCGATTCAGAGCGGCCACCTGCAGGTAAATTTCAGTTCTAATTTCGGTTTATTGTTCGGGTTTATGGCCTCTTACCGATTGCCGATATCAGCAGCACTCCCAGCACAAGGACTCCTCTGCTGACGAACATTTTCCTAGTTGACCGTTCGCTTGATTTGCCACCAGTCGACTGAAAACACTGCTCGGAATGGCGCTTCCAACTGGAGGTCTTAGCCGTTTATCTGACCACTTGGGGTTGAACCAAAGACAGGAAATTCCACCGATAAGGCCACTTTGAGATTATATTACCCGGCCGGCTGAACATGGCCATAATCTTTACAATTATTGGGGAATATTAGGCAGAGATTTGAATCATTTAAATCATCATCAGGTGGGCCTTGACTTCACTCTTACACCTATTTTGAGGCCACACGTCTGGATTTCATCATTCTTTGGTTGAATCTCGTTCGGCAAACAGCTCTCTGTAGAGTTTCAAAATTATACAAAATTTCCCAAACTATTTTTATACAAAATTCAATAAAACATGTCGTGTAATAAATCTTATGGTGAGTAAAGTTGTTTATAAGTTTCCGGCTTCCTTTATTTATTTCTGTTTTCAAAAGGACCCGGACCTGGAGCTTATAACCTGCCCAGTACTTTTGGATACAATAACTGCGACAAGCGGGTGCAGCGAAGCCCGCAGTTCTCCTTTGGAACGAGTGCAAGATCTTGCAACAATGCCTCAAAGGTTGAAGGTCCCGGACCTGCTGCATATAATTTGGGCAAGGTCACGCGATTTGGAAGGCCTTCTGCTGAGGCGGACCCTGTTTTCCGTGGCCACAGTCGTCGCTAATTTGTGTAGTCAAATGTTTTAAGCATGCATGGTATAAATATAGTTTCTAATTTATTGACTTGTTTGAATATTATATAGAATTACGGTAGCTGAATATCTAATCAAATAAATGGAATTATTTGCCAGATTAGCCTAATCGACGTACTAAGCTTAAGTGGGCGTAGATTACCGACTGGTACTGGCAAGTTTACAGAACAGGTGTGCTTTTGGCTTATCACGACTGCTGATTAATCATTACCGCTGACTGTCATCTATTAGGTCATGGATTTTTAATTCTTTTTAGCAAATATTGGTAGCCAGCTCGGCTGTTTATGCCACATATTTGCCATAAATAGGTCACCCTCGCCATTTATAAAATCAATTTCAGTACAAAGGAAATTCATCACAAATTTTGTCGGGACTAAATTTAAACGGCAAAAATGCAATGGAACGGAAAATGTGACGGTGGGCTCAAAATCCATAGCCTGCTTATCGGGGCACAGGCAACACTCGCTCTGACGAGTCTTTAAGGCATTCTTTAATCTCCATCTCCCCATCCTATCCATATCGAGGGGGTGCTAATAATACTGCAACCCATGAACATGGCCAAAGCTTTAAAGCCGTGTGTGTGTGCGGTAGAGTTTGGTGTTAACAAAAACTATCACCAGTTCAATAGAATGGAAATCTGATTGGCTCATATGAAATTTATAATGCTCTTATGTGATTGAAGTTTAAGCATAAATTATCAATGAAAAACTTTATATATGATATATACAAATTTTAAATTTGACGAAAAATATAAAATATAAATAATAAAAAAATATAAATGTCTAATCAATCTTATTTTATTATTTTAGTTTTTATACACAAATATCTTAAAATATTTGGCTATTAAAGTTGTGGAAATATTTGTGTTGATTTTTTTACAGCGTACCATCATGCTGTCCAATAAAGTTTAAGTTAGTTTGTTTAATTAAGTTCTAAAGTATTTAGATTTTAGATGTTATAAAATATTAAATGTGCTTATTGCTTTTTATTACAACCCTATTTAAGGTGCTCTAAGAAAGATAGTAACTGATGTAAGGGTTTTTTGTTTTAAATGAATATTCCTCTAATCATTTTTAAGACAAAACATACCCTCTTGAAGGTTGCCACCAACATGGGTTCAACACAAACAGAATAGAATGGAGAAGCGATTGGAGTGGGCTCCATCTGGGTTGGCTGCCTTCGGTCTTTTGGTTCGGCTCGGCTCGTTTCGGCTGCTGTCAATAAAATAGAACGGCAACTTGTCGCCGCCTTTCAATATTCGCACATACGTCGTTGTGGCAGCACCACCACCTGTTGGCCCCGTGTAGATACATTTCGGAGCATACATTTTGTGGCGCGAATCCGGAGCCATATGGCAGCCTAAATAGCTGGTATCTGTGTGTTCAATTAGCCCAACGAGCGCTCATCATGTCGGAAAAGTCTTCACGCGGCCAGACCCACTCTCGATCGGAGTCGCACTCCCAGTCGCAAAGCCAGGCGGCTGCCCAGCTGAATGCCTCCGGCAGACGTAGCTCCACCCCATCCGGAGCGAACGGCTCCTCCAACCGCTGCCTGATTGCCGTGGTTGTCTACCTGGCCCTGTTGCTAGATAACATGCTGCTAACCGTAATTGGTAATGGGCCAAATCAATTACAGATAATCACGTCCATAAACGATAATTATCGCATTTGCAGTGCCCATCCTGCCGGATTACTTGGCCAGCCTGGAGCTAGATTCGTCCTCGCCGGTGGTGGTGCTCGGCCTGGAGGACACATCCTCGCCAGCCCTGAAGCTCGCCTATCGGGGTGGGGAATCCCCAGCCCCCGGCGGTGGCCATCCCCAGCTGTACATCTCCAAACACCCCATCCCCGGCAAATCAATGGTCAATTTCACCCTGTTCCAGTTGTCCACAGAGGCCACCACCACGACTGGCACCTCATCGACCCCGAGCCATTCGGGCGGCACTAATGCCACTGGCAACAGGAGCAGGAAGCTGGCCCCCGGCAATCCGCCCACCCCCGCCCACGCCCACAACAGCAACAAGGAGCTGACCTTGACGCAGGAGAACGGCTCCATCGGCCTGCTGCTGGCCATGAAGGCCTTCGTCCAATTAATTTTCAATCCAATTGTCGGCAACGCATCCGGCAAGTTCGGGTACCGCCTTCCCATTGTGGTCGGCACCTTCTTCCTGTTCATCTCCTCGCTGGGTGAGTGATCTATTTTCGGCACACCCAATGGCCTTATTGGCTTTTCAGCGCGTAATTAAAAACTCAGGTTTAAAGAATGCAATGTATTTACTTTGGGTGATATTTTCCAGGACTATCTTTTGATTTTTGTAAGACTAAAAGATTTTGTAAGGAGTGACTAGTGCCATTAATTTAAGTTTCTTGAAACTTTTATCTCTATTTTGTTTTCATTAGGAAAGCTAAATATATATTTTTTTAAATAATAAATTCTAATTGGTCAACTTCAAATACCATAAAATGATTGAACAAAAAATTGATCATTTAAATTGAGGTGTAAGACATTGAGGTATTTTTATTTTGTATTCAATATTTTACTCGAATTAAACTTAAAGGAACATTAAAATGTATACCAATACATAATTTCGTGTAAATTGAATTTTTTAATTTTCTATACTTAATTCTAACTTTCCGACTAACTACTTACGTAATTTCAGTGTTCACCGTCGGGGAGTCCTACTGGTCACTCCTGGTGGCCCGAGCTGTTCAGGGCGTGGGCTCCGCCTGCATCAACATCTGCGGCATGAGCCTGGTGGCCCAGCACTATCCGGAGGAGGCACGTCGCTCCAAGGTGATGGGCATCATCCTGGGCAGCATCGCACTGGGCGTTCTGCTCGGCTATCCCTTCGGAGGAATTCTGTATGACCTGATGGGGAAGTCGGCGCCCTTCATCATTCTATCCACGCTGATATTCCTCAGCCTGGGCCTCCAGCTGCTGACCATGGATCTGTCCGTGCAGCCGGAGGTGGTGGTGGAGGAAGCTCCCAAGTGGCGACCCCTGCTCGAGTGCAAAATGATCCTGGCCATTGTGCTGGCCATTTGGTTCTCCACCTCGACAATGGCCATGTTGGAGCCCTGCCTGCCCATCTGGCTAATCCAGTATCTGAAGCCCAACAAGTGGCAGCTGGGCACCGTGTTCATTCCAGACTCTGTGGGCTACTTTGTGGGCACCAACTTCTTCGGCAGCATTGCCTATAAATATGGACAGGTCAAGGTGTCCTGCATCAGTCTGCTGCTCGTGGGGGTGGCCTCAATATTGGTAAGTTCTAAAAAGAAGAGCTATAAATATTTAGACCTTTTTCCTTTTTATGATATTGAATTAAAATTGTACTATATTTAACCAATTAATGCCATATAAATCGGCATATGCACGCATGATTATAACATTTTATTTTATTATAACTTTTATGACTTAAACAAAATTATGCCCAAGAGTATTATTTTTATTAAGTATTCTGCAAAAAGAACATATTATTAGAAAACTGAAAAACTGAAATATAATTATATCTGTTTTCCACAGATACCCAGTGCGACAACGGTTGCTCAACTATTGATGCCCCACTTTGCCCTGGGTCTCGGAATAGGGGTTATTGATGCGGCATTGGTTCCTCTGTTGGCCACCTTCGTGGATGCCACACTTTCTCAGGAGGAGCAGAGCGAGGGCAGCAGCTCCATGTCCAGCTACGGCACTGTCTATGCCATTCAACAGACATCGGTTAGCCTGGCATATTGCTTGGGTAGGTCCCACATTGTTTGTTTTGAGCTAAAACTAAATATATCATGTTCCCTAGCTCCTCTGATTGGTGGTGAGTTGGCCCAGACCTTCGGTTTTGCTTGGCTAATGCGAATCGTTGGCATTTTCAACATGATCTATGGCCCAATTCTGGTCTACTTGTATCAGAAATACGATCCAAAGGTGGGATACTTGATAAATATTTCAGAAAGTAATTAAATTGTATATAAATTTATAGGCCCTGAGGGAGCAACATAATGATATGCTACTACAAAGCAGCGGACGTGGATCGCGATATAAGCAACTATACAACTCAATGGATGTGGAATAAACAAGTCTGTCCAGTTTCTCAGTAAATCTCAAGCAATCTTGAGTGTCCAAATTAGGCGTTCCTTGGCTCATTAAAGCAATATATTTGGAGCTGATTTTTGTAAACCTTTTTTCCTCTTAAATCCCGAATCTCCTATAATTAAAATCACTATAAAATGTTTCCGAGTAACTTAGGTAAATAGGATCCAATTTTCCGATTAAAAATTATTAAAGAAACTATTCTTGGGTTTGAGATTTAAACGGAAAAGTTCAAATATTTTCAATCGAATGTGCCATGGATCTGACTTCCCCTAGACCTAGTATGTTGGGGACTGTAGAAGTCTCATTCTTTTGGTAATACCTGTTCGGCAAACACCTCATATTTTGAGGTCAAAATTAAATTCAATTATTTTTTTCTAATATTGCACAAAACTAACTGAAAATGGCGGTGCGACCCTTTGGTGAGTAAATGTTTGTTCGGAATAGTGTTGTGGGAGGATAATCTTTCATGTCCTTCGAAGGCCCTGGACCCGGCGTCTACATGCTGCCACCCACGGTCGGCTACGACAAGCATGACAACCGGAAACAGCGGATGCCGCAGTACTCCTTCGGCATGCGCACTCGGGCACCGGGTGATGATCTGGGTCCTGGTCCCGGAGCCTACAAGGTCGACAAGTTAACGCGGTATGGCCCCAGCAAGGGCCTGGAGTTTTCTATGTCGCCCAGGACAAACACCATCGGTAAGTATAATACAAAATACTTTGGATGGACAATAATTGTTCAACACTGTAGACAAGCGATGCAGTCCCGGTCCCGGAGCCCACGATGTGCATAAGAAACCATTCTTCACGGGCGTCAATGCCCCATCCTATTCGATGGGTCTGCGAACGGACTTCTCCTTCAAAAAAGAGGGTCCAGGTCCCAATGCCTACAAGTATGAGGTGAATGCTGTTCGTCCTGGAGTCCCGAGCTACAGCATGTGAGTATTTCTTATCTTATCCCGATTACTTTCCTCCTAATTATCCAACTTTTTCACAGGGGCCTGCAAACCAAGATAATAAACAAGGCTAACTCGCCGGGTCCGGCTGCCTATGGAGGCGGTGATATCAATGTGAAACTGAACCGTGCACCGGTGTACTCGATGCAGCCGCGAACCGCCATTCCGGGGGAGAGCGTCGGACCCGGACCCAACTATTACGATCTTATGTACTACCGACCTGGCAAGAGCGGACCGGGCTACTCCTTCGGTGTGCGCCACCACCAGTTCGCCCCGCCCATGATAGTTAGATGTGACAATATGTAGAGTGCAATATTAGAAAAAATGTTCTAAATTTCAGTAAATAAACAATTGTTACAAATAATTTGGTAAACTCTGAACCTTTTATTCATCACGCCAGGCGAATAGAATTATTATTATAGATATTTTGGATGCGACAGTTTTTCTCTCAGTTGCAGGTAGTAGTCGTGGGAATGGGCTCGATCGGGCTACTAAATCATAACGTATGCTTTAGGAACAATAGGGAAAAAAAGAAATAAAACTATAACATCGTTGTTCCTTTTAGAATTTTACGCACGACTATAATATATAGCTCAGAAAATCGAATTAAAAACAATAACGCTAGTTTTAAGGCACCGAAATCGAAATTGAAATATTTTATGTTTGTAACAGCTACAAGGATATATAATAATAAATTAAATCATCCTGGAGCAATCCATGTTTTTTTATTTTAAATTAAAAGTTTTTGTTGTAATTGTAAATTTGACCGTATAATTGTTTTGTTGAGACATTTATCTTTGACTATCAAAAAAAGTGTAGCTTATTGATTTTTTTTATTTTAATTACTTAAATAGCAGTACGACACCGGTGTCTATTTAAATAAAACTTACACAAAAACTTCCTTTTGTGGGCTCCCAAAAGAGCAATTGAAACAATTAATTAAAATAATCATTCTTATATTTAAAGTTTTTTAATAGTATTTCATTTTTTTAAAATCGACATAGCTTTATTGTTTTTAAGCATATATGCATAAAAACCGAAATATCGTCGAATTCTATAACATTTCATTATAGAGTAGTCAAAAGTTTATATAAGTGTATATATATATTATATTTAAAGTTAAAAAAATTAAGTTAAAACTTTGTAACTTTTGAGTAAAGCTTAATGTTAGAAGTGGAATATTATCATTTATAATCGCTTATATAAAATGTCCTTAAAAGCTTATACTAATTAATATTTATATATTTCCCTTTTAATGATTAGGTATAAGTCGGAGCTGGCTTTGAATTTTTTGTTATAAAATGTCATTACAGGAAATAAAGAGAAAGCTAAAATTTTTGTGAAGACTAGTTGAAATCTCGAATTGGATATATTTTTATAACATTAAGTTATTTTGTAACTCAAAAGCGGTGAGTCGGCCAGCGAGCCTTATATATTTACTATACTATTGGCGGACACTATACTATATAGTATAAGCTATTAGGAACGAAGTAAAATGAATACCTGCATTGTATTTACTGTGTTTGTTGTAATGATACTTCTTCTGTGTCTTTTAATTTTGATTCAAGCGGGCATAAATTCTCCCAAAATTTAATTTAATTTAATCACTTGCACAAAATTTTTTCGTATTTCGGGCACCATGATATCTGGATATACAAAAGCTTAAAGCATTTTAATTGCCAAAGGACTTTTAATGTAATTGAAATATTCACTTCCGCTTGGAAATTCGCAAATCCAGTATAACCATTGTTTGGTCAATGTTCACAATTTTTTAATAAGATTTCTTATTAAAGCGCTCTTAATTTGTTTTTAAAAATTAAATTCAAATCATTTTCGATTAGGCGCTAAGCTATATTTGCCACTTAACAGCGCGCTGTTAAAGCCGTGTAACCGGTGCCCGAGTCGGGTAAGGGGTTCGGGTCCTTGCTATAGTTTACTGGTATTTCAGAACCATTGAATTCGTCTCCGGTATTTTTCAGTCACAAAATTATTTTTCTGGTAGGCGTATCGCCTGGGGCTCCGAGTTTATCGTTTTGTTTGTAGAACTTTTGGCTGTTTTATTTATAGTTTTCCAAAGAAGTTGGCGAAATTAGCCAAGCAAATTGTTGATTTGTCCAGCCCATAAATTAGATGTGTGTAAGCGGGTCGGCCGATATAGATACAAAATAGCAAGCAATAACTGCCGTAACTGTTATAGTTAGTGACCAATTGAAAGAGAAGAGGAGATACGCCACGCAAAAATCCGGCCATTGATTTTGGGTCTTCCATGCTCAGAGTTCACGATTGGTAACATGTTGAGCGATGTGGCGGGTGCTGCCGGCCCAGGTGGCGCCCCAGATTTCGAGCAGGATTCGGAGGAGGTTTCTCCACTGACGCTGCCGGCGGAGGATCCTCCGGCCGCGCAGGACCAGGTTAAGACTCCGGGATCGCAGGACCACCGCCATTCCGGTGCCCATTCCCGTCGAACGGGCGGTGGGCAGGTGCCATCCAGAAATCAAGGGGGCAACAACGAATGCCAGTTCTTTTTCGAGGACGAGGTGTTCCGCATTGATCGGCGGGGTCGCGTCCACTTCGGAGTCGTTACGGAGACGGCAGAGTCCTATTCCTCTGATGAGGATGAGGAAGTCGACGAGGTTCTGTCCAAGGGGGAGGTGCGCGTGGCCTTCTATCCGGACGGTAAGGAGTTGGTGCACACAGAACACTCGGTAAGTAAACTCTATTGAGGTTATGTAACTGTCAAGGTCCCAAAAAATAACTGTTTTCACAACTGTTTTGCGTTTGCTCTTCACGTTCTTTGGACACGTGTTTGTTTGCTTCTTTTTTCTCTTGTTTTTGATTTCCGAAACATGTGGCAAATAGATTGGTCTTGCGGATCGAACCCTAATGCCAGGCGATGTAGTGCGAAGGCGTCTGCCAGGACAAAAGGACCTCATTGGTCAAGCGGGCTATGTGCGGGATGTTAATGTGCGCGCCGATGTCACCGTGCTAGGCTCCAAGTTGGTCATCAAAAATGTGGCGGCCGAGCGACTACGTCCTATTTCAGAATGGACCAGAGATGTGCCCGTCTGCCTGGGCACCTGGATAGGTACCACCGTCAATGTTGACGAGTGTGCTGTAATCAAGTACGTATATTGATTACCCCTTCACCTCCTGGGTAAACCCCATTTCATAAGCACAACCTTTGCAGAAATACTAATGGCGCTCGCCTGGAGATCACATCTAACGATTTTCACAAGTTCAAGGATGCTGTGGGTCACTGCGCTCGCGAGGTCTTCAATCCCAATGTATACTTTCCGGGTAACGTGGTGATAGGTCGCCTCCCGCCCCCGGATCGCGTAAAGAATCTGACTCCGGAAATCGATCTGCCCGCCAATCGCAAGGCTCGTGCCATGGTAAGAATATTTAATGGGCTTTTTAATCAGAATAGTTGGGCTATAGTCCTTTACATATACTAATTACAGCCATTGCCTAATTATTTATTTTTTTTTGCGCATATATATTTTTTTTTTTTATTATTAAGTCACAAGGTAGATAATAAGTTGATAAAATTTTGTGGTTTACCAATATTTCCAAAGTGCTTAATTTATTTGTAATTATAATTAGTACACCGTGGAATCCATTCGAACCACATCCGTTAATGTGGCCTGGACTTGTCGGGCCATCTCGCAGTTCGAAAATGGCACTGACATAGATCCTCTGAAGCAGCCAAAAACCACCATTAAGGGCGAGGACCTGAACAGCGTAAAGCGCCTTAACATCTATGAATCCTACGTGCTCCAAATTCACGATCGATTCTACCTCAAATATTCAAAATGTGATTTATTAATTAGATATACCGACTGGGAAGAGGAACAAGGTAGGTTATTGATAATAAATTGGCTTTAAAAATGCATAATATATGTACTGTTCTATTATAGCGGAAAAATACATTCCCATCTACAATAGCCAGAAAAAGATGGACAAGGGCAGCAAGCTGAACTCGTCTGCCTCGAGCAGTGGGAATGCTCGCAATGTACCCAAGTTTCGTCGCCTGGCCAACAAGTTCAGCGGAATGCGCCTGCCTCGTCCGGCAAGCGATCATACGCACAGCTCAAATGCTTCGAAGGTTTCAAAGCGCAGTGAAGAGGTGTGCTCATCGGGGGAGGATGAAGAGGAGGAGGACGAAGAGCCAATCCAGTTACCTGAGCCTTCGGTAGCACCCGAAAAGGAGGCTGCCGTTGCAGAGGATGCGGAGTCTCCGTCTCCCGATTCTACTGCTGCTGCAGATGCCGCTGCCCAGGCCCCCAGAATAACAATGCGCCATGCTAAACGGCGGCATGTGAAGAAAAAAATGCGCAGCGTTAAGAAACTGATCACTGCGCCTTTTGCTAGAAAGGACTTGACTCCCAAGGATGGTGACGAGATTGTTGTTGAAACGCTGGTCGTGTACAGCTCGGTAACTGTCGTCTGGCAGGATGGCACAGTCGAAACGGGCATTCTTTCCACCCAGCTGTATCCCATCCATCATTTGGACAACCATGAGTTCTTTCCTGGCGACTTTGTGAGTAAGGCCAACGAGAACAGCACAGGAGTCACCGATTATGGCGTCATCCAGTGCGTGGACCACGACGAACGCATTGCAAAAGTCTTGTGGTTTAACATCTACTCCCACGTAGACAATCCAATGTGAGTATAGTTATTTTTTTAACTTAGGTAAATGGGATCTCAATACTTTTGTTCATTAAGTCCGTTGTGTAAGGACTTAGAGGAGCTCAGTGTCTACGATTTGAAGGATCACTCTGACTACCAGTATCGACCCGGCACCATGGTCATCCGAGTTTCCAACTTCACGGGCGAGGACGTCGACTCAACTGCTGGCCAGGTGATAGACAACTACCCCGATGGACGGGTGCGCGTTTGGTGGGCCAAGGGGCATATTACCATGTGCTACCCGCAGGATCTGTTCGAGATTAACCACAATGATCAGGACCAAGATGCCTACGAATCGGATGGCTCTGAAGACTCTTGGGAGACCCAGTCGGAGAACAGCCGTGTTGGGATGAACCTCAGCCTGTCGTCAATGGACAATGAAGAGCACATCATTATGGGCATTGATCGGGCGACGGAGGCAATGAAGCGGCTGGAAAAGCTCTTTCGAATCCTCCCCCCAAAGCGAAAACCGGAGGTGCTCAACGACTTACTGGCTGTGTACAAAAACTGCCGGAGCCTGGACCGTATGCTCAAGACCAACTTTTTTCACGAGGACCACTTCCAGAACATCGTGCAATGTAAACCTTCTACTGACGACGATTCTCCCGACCTTCCCACACTAGAAAGTGTGGAAGAAGCGTCTCCAGATGCATTGACAGTCTTGCCCAAGGTTTCTTCAACCATCAAGCTTGAACTGGAATCTATTAACCAGTCTTGCCCGGGCCAGCCCACATTGACGCCGACAAAGCGAAAGTCCTCCACTGAAATGGACGAGGTTCAGTGCAAAAAGAGCGCTGATAAGATCGCGGAAGAGGCAGACGCGGAGGAGGAGGAGGATGCTTTGGAACTGGACAAAGTCACACTCACCGAAAGTGAGACAAAGCTCGACTACAACCAGCTAGTAAAGAAGTATCGCAGCGAGTACACGGAACTGTTCGGCTGCGCACGGAACAGCATTGCTAAAGCCTTCGAAAATCGCACTAAGGTACGTTATTATTAGTAAATTAAAAAACCCTGTCTTGTCAGTCGAAATGTTTTAAGGGATTATGATTTAAATATATTTGTTGCTATAAGGAATATCTTCAACAACAAAAATATAAGCATGAATCCTAATTCTTTAATATAAATTATTTATTTTCACTCATATATCATTGTTTTCTCAGAATGATTCGGGCGTCCACTCGCGCGGTGAAAATACCTCGGACGAGTTCAATAACCCAGATAGTGATAATAAATCGGTTGAGGTGTCGGAGGTGAACGATGATAAAATGAAATGCAAGGAAGACTGCATCATTGAACTGCTTAAGTACGATGCTGACGTCTGCGAGGTCTTCTGTTTCTTAATAAAGGAGCAAATGGCCAAATGCCGCGAGGCGGTTGTCGAAACAGTAAGCAAGCCGAAAGGCGATCGCAAGGACGAGGACGAGGAGGTAAGCGATGCTGAGGAAGCCATCGAGCCGGTCGATCAGGATCGGAAACCAGCTGAGGATGGCGAAGACCGTCAGATTGCGGAGGACGACGCCATGGAGCAGCCGTTGAATCTGAACGCCCTGTCCGAGTCACTGCCACCCATTGACAGTCCCATGGCCTGCTCTTCGCCCTCATGTTCTGTAATTCCAGACACGCCGCCCGTGTGCGACAATTGTTTCCAAGTGATGCCGAATGCACCGGCCGCCCATCACTTTATCGGCAGCCAAGTGACTCCGGCCAACAAGTCGCAGTATCAGCGGGCCGTTCAGCGAGAATACCGTATGCTGCAGGCCTCCCTGCCCGCCGGAGTCGTGGTGCGGGCCTATGAAGATCGCATGGACCTGATATCTGTGATGATGGTAGGACCGCAGCACACTCCCTACCAGAACGCCCTGTTCTTCTTCGACTTTCAATTGGGGCGCGACTATCCTAAGAGCCCGCCTGTGTGCCACTACATCAGCTACTGCACGGAGCGTCTCAATCCCAACCTGTATGAGGAGGGCAAGGTGTGCGTTTCGCTGCTAGGCACTTGGTCTGGTCGCGACACAGAGGTGTGGTCCTACGGCAGCACCATGCTGCAGGTGCTCGTCTCCATACAGGGACTCATACTGGTCGATGAGCCCTACTATAACGAGGCGGGCTACGAAAAACAAAAAGGTCAACTATTTAAGTTCAATACTAATAGCAGCACCCATAAATATCATGTTTGCCATTTGTTTTAGGCACCCAGCTGGGCAATGAGAACTCTCGTGTCTACAACGAGATGGCCATCATAAAAATTGCTCACTCAACGGTCAAGCAGCTTCAGAATCCGCCGCTCGTCTTCCGCAGCGAATTGATTGAGCACTTTAAGGAATTTGGCTGCGAACTGCACGGACGTATGCAGGCCTGGTCGGAATATTCGGCGGAGGCCCAGCGCCAGCGAATAACCAGCATCAAGGGTGAGTTTTTGGATAAAGTGGTGCATCGGATAATTTATAATCGGCTTCCCCTAGATATGCCCGTCGAGTACAAGGCTCCCTGCGAGCTGCCCGAGTTCCCCCTCCTGCCCTGCAGTCGTGGCTTTTGCATAGCGGTCAAGGGTGTTTTGGGCCAGCTTCAGAGCGAGCTGACTGCTTTGGGAACGAGTCTGGCAACGGGTGATCGAAACGGCATTCCGGCAGGAACGGGAACTGCGCCGCGTGCTGCTCCGGAAGAGATATGAGTGCAGCGCGTCCTGCCCAGTCCATGCCTGTGAAATTGGTGCCTATCAGAAGAACCACAAGACTTTTGCCGCCTGCACTTGGGAGTCTGATCTGGCCCTCGGCAAGGGGCTGCGTTTTATAGCCACTATCGAATCTCTAATTTTTCCCAACTCGTATTGCTGGAAATCAGCCTTTTAGTTAAACGAAATTTCCTAAAGTTATTAGTTGCTAATTTTCCACAAACAAATAACATAAGCTGAATTATATATATATATAGCGCTCAATGAAGCAAATTGGTATATGGATTCGCCTCATGTAATGTCAGTCAATTTTATTTATTTTAGTTGCCTCGTGCTTAGTGCAGGCCAGCAAACAAGTTACGCGTTTTTCGTTGTATTAATTGTGCTGTTCCCATACTTGTGGGCGCTGGCCTACACGAATCTTTGTTTATGCTCGCGCTGCGTTGTAGTAGGCATTCCACTAGTGCTTAGCTTAGTCAGTCCACCCCGTCACCCGATCCGCACCATGTACGTAATATTGTAAGCTAGCCAATGCGAGAAATGTGAATAAATTAGCAATTTTATTTATTATGCCTCCAATTTCTGCTTTATCCAATCGATGAAATGCCCGGTGCGGGTATAAACGCCGGGCCAACCCTTTAGGCCGCACGGCTTCGTGCCGTAGGAGGTGACTCCGGCGATGTAGAAGACCTCCCTTCCGCCCGAGTTGACGCCCACCATCAGGGGACCGCCGGAATCGCCGCCGCAGGTGTCTACGCCCAACTGGCCACCGGCACACATCTGGGTGTCGTCCAGTTTGACCTTGAAGGTGGTGTACTTGTTCTGGCAAGTCGTCAGATTCCAAACGCTGACGGTGATCTTCAACTTGGTCACACTGGGTTGCAGGTTCTCGGTGAGTCCCCAGCCGGCCACATCCATGGCATAGCCAACAAAGTTGTTCTGCATCAGGTCGTCGGTGGGTAGGCAAATGGGACGCACGTAGTCAGTGTAGCTGACGAAGAATAAAAAACATATCAATGGATTCACTGGACAATCCTCCCAGTTCTAAGGACCCACTCACCTGACACTTCGCTTAAGACGCAGCAGCGCAATATCATTTTTTTGGTCCACAGAATTCGGCGCATATTGCTCATGTATGATGAACCTTTCCACCTCGATATCGATGTGATTGGGGGCGCAGATGCGCTTATTATTCAACTGGACGGCGCAGTCGGGATCGGTGCGGGTGTCCCACTCCCCCAGGCGAACGCTGTGCAGGGCGACGCCGGACTTATCGAGTTCCCGGCTGGCCAGACAGTGTCCGGCGGTCAGGACGTATCGAGAGTTCAGCAGTGCTCCGCCGCAGTTAAAGGAATAACTTTCGGAAAAAACTGTAAGCAAAAAAAAATTATTCAGATTGCCCTTTCCATTTTTCCCCAAAAGATAAAAAGATTTTTTTCCCACTTGGAATTTTAATTTGACTTGAAAACAATTGGTTGATAATAATACAGTCAAACTTTCACTACTCGTGCCACCATCTGGTACCATAAAAAAGGTTCATGTTATGCACATTTGGAGATATACAATTTATTTTATATTATTGCAAATAAATATGTTCAGACTTCTAGATAGGAATGTGCGTACTTATAAGGAGTCAAAGATTGTTTCGTAATTTAGCCTCTTATCAATTTTGACGGCATAACGTCACTATATAGTTATATACAAAGTGTACCATAAACACAGTTCTGAATAAATAGTTTAGTAGGTATAACCAACAAAAAGTGATTAGTGTGTTGATTTGTAAGTATTAGCTGATAAATACTGAATTCTACTGAATACTAATAATGAATTCCGGAAAACAATTTAGACTGTTTCTAATTACTTACATGATAGGAATGGAGCTTTAATATTCAACTCACGTTTTTTGTACTGAAGCAAAACCATCCAGGGGAATTCCCAGAGGCTGGTGTTGGTGCCACCGAAAATGCGATCGGCAAAGAGGAATCCACAAACGTCACTACCGGGCAGGACGTTGCCGGGCTGCTGGCCCTCCACCTCCGCAATCTCTGGGGCCTCCTCGCTGGTGTCCCTCTTGCTCTGAGGGCAGCAGACCAGGATGCGGTTCATCAGACCCTCCACCCGGTTGTCCAAGCCACACTGGCTCTTGGACAGCAGGAGCATTTGGGCAGGTGTCTTCGGCTCCACCTTCACCAGGTTCGCCAGGAAGGGGCAGCTGGCAATCCGGACGCACTGGCCACGCTCCTCGCTCTGCTGGGGCGTGCAGGTGCCGAAGCTAATCTGCGCCGCGTCTGGAAGAGAAGAGTGCGGTTTACGATGCGGTCTAACCGGTTTTCTGGCGGTGCAATAAAAACGGTTCGCGTTCCCATTTATTGATTCCATTTTTTTCATTTTGCACATTAAATTATTTTTTTAATAGGCCTTAGAAGTTTATTTGAACAATTTAAATATCTTGCCAGGCGTAGTATACAAGTTGATGGGTGTTATTCGAGATCGTAGTGGCTCTACCTACAAGTCATTTCAATAGCCAAAAGACCAGGGCATTATAGAGTCATTGCTGAATTTCTTAACATTAAGGTTTAAAAACTTTAAAATCGATCTAATAAGGTCAGGTACAAAAAAATCTACTTATTTTGTAAGTGTCCTATGGACAGCTCACCCACCTGCTCGTTGCACTATTCCGGATAATGCGCTGACCACCAGTGCCAGCAATAGAAAATTCCGTTCTATAGAAGCCATCTTGTCGCTGCGGGTTCCAAGCTGAGACTAATCAAGTTCTCCGGCACTTGGGCAGTTCAATTCCAAAACGATCCCGATGCAATGGTTGCGAGTAGCGTTATCTCGGGGTCAAAGGTTATCCAGATTGCTGGCGAAGGCAATTGCGTCCAGATAGGGGTGAGGTTTTCCCAGATTTTTGCATTAGCATAGCAGCAAATTTATGGGCCAACCCCACCCGTAAACGCCTTCGGACTCTATTAAAATCATATTCAAATTACTCCCTGCTGTTCGATCTTCTCTTAACCGGTTATTCTCACAATACTTGATAGACATATTCACATAGCGTCTTTTCACATTGTAAACTTTTTTTTTTGTTTTTGATGTTGTTTATTATGGTTTAAAAAAATTCAGATAATACTTCCTATAATACCTGCAAAACTGCTATTTGTTTAATCAAATAAAAACTGTTTACTTATAATATTTTCATTGCTTTATTATAAACACAATCGAGCGTATTAAAATAAAATAGATTAAATAATTATAAAGTATACAAGTGTAGATATAGTGTTTAAAACATGGTATAAAAATAAAAAAATGTATGAAATATTCATAGACCCAATATCGGAAGTAAACTACGGCGAGCCAAAGTTTATATACCCTTGCAGCTGGTTTTGAAACCGTAATTCTGGAAACGTTATATTAAGAAACAACGAAGATATAGTTTTATTTCTTTGTTTTTCCTGTTGTTTCTATGTATGCTTTATGATATGTATATTAACCCGATGCGCCCCATTTCAACTTATTACCTGCAACTGAGAGAAGACTTTTTGCAAAGTTTCATTCAAATATCAATAAAACTAAGGTATTAGTTTGCGTAGAGTCGGACAGACGGATAGATCTACTCGCCTGATGATACTGATCAAGAATATATATACTTTTTATATGGTCGGAAATGTGCTCTTCTCTGCGTAGCAAATATTTGACTGCAATTGTAATACCTTCTGCAAGGGTATTATGAATCAAAAAGTATATAAATGCAAATATAAAATAAAATGTATGTTCATAAAAGTTCAAGGCTTTAGAGACTTAACTATCCATTTGTAGTATACTCCAGTCTTTGTGTAAACTCCTGGAACGCCCTTCTGTCCGCAAGGTTGGGCTGCATATGATGAGATGCCGACCACATAAATGCTGAGTGTTATGTTTCCCATCAGGGGACCGCCGGAGTCGCCCAAACATGTGTCCGTTTCACCATGGACACCAGCACATATTTGAGACGGTCGGTCAAAGTATTTAAACTTCTTTGAGCATCTTTGCTTATTTTCTCTAATGGTGCTCTGCAACAGTATTTGGCTCGGTTTTCCGTTATTAGTCATTTTCCAGGCGGCAATTCGCAATGCAGATTTCTTTAAGGCCGTATGAGCTCTTGGAACACAAATAGGTGCGATTTGATTCGTATAACTGCAGGAGAAAAAACGTTCAGAGTTGGAAGTGAAATACACACAATAAAATATAGTATAGAGCTGATAACCAGCGGGAAATCATTACTCACCGTACAGGAATTTCGAGTCGCAGAAGGGCGATGTCGTTTACGTAAGATTTTGTGTAGTTTTGATGCACAATAACATCCTCCACCTCGAAATCCGAAGGCCCAAAGGCGAACCTCTTCTTGCCAGCATTTAGCCCGACCCAATCGGGATTGGATTGCTCGCCCAGACGAACTTTCCTGAGCACTAAGTCCATCGAAATTTCTTTCCCAGGGACCACACAGTGGGCTGCGGTTAGGACGTAGCGGTTGTTGATCAGGGAGCCCTCACAGTTGAAGTCAAGTATTGGATCCCAAGTTGTGGTATTCTGGTAAAATAGCATGGCCAACCATGGGAGCTCACTGAGCCCCGCTTCTTCTGTGCCCTGTCCACACTTCTCATCTTTTGGCAGGAAGGTACCCATTTTGGGGCAGCAGATATACATACGGTGTTCTAAAAATCTCTGACTGGCATCGATTCCACATTGCCTGCGCATTATTTCCTTCTTAGCCGGAGTGACATTCTCGGAATTAAGAATGTCACGCAAGTGGGGGCACTTATCCAGTCTGACACATTTCTCATCGGTTAGACAAACTGGAGTTGATAAAGGTTTAAAGGTTAACTAAAGGCTTAGATTTTGGGAGGTCATTACCCGGGATTGGACAGCAGATGTAGACCCTCTGGCCTATAAGGGTACGCGTGTGATCGATACCACATTGTTTTCGCATAAATAATGCACTGGCCTCCCGCCTATTGGACATAACAATGTCATAAAAGCCGGGACACTTATCGAGTGTGATGCATTCCTCATGGGCTTGACACTTTGGAAACGCTGTTAGGAATTTTAATTAGAATCAATACAAATCGTAAAGAGAACTTAAGATTAAATTTAACGTCCTTATATTTGACATATACAACACTAACTGTAATTTACACACATTTTAAAAAATAGTCCCATTAACAGGCTTAAACAATAAATGCGTATCTCCAAGGGAAAAAACGTTTGATACGCCTAAAAAAACACCCGTCACGCTGTTCAATTTCAAAACTATTACACTTGCAATTCTATTATTACGGCAAAAAAAAAATAAAAGAATATGTTTATGCGTTTTTTCTTTTCGATATTCACCATATCCATCTGAATATTTCAGAAGAAAAGCCGGGAGCAGAAGCGAAATATACACTTTAGGTCCGAAAAACATGTTGAGCCGAAAGGGCTTGAAATAAAACTGCTTCTTAAATACGCATTGAAGCACATCGTCGAATTATTATCATCAAAATATAGTTTGAGTCATCTCTAATCTCAGCTTTTTTGAAATTGGTGACTTAAGTAAATTGCTTTATCTCCCTTTTTTTAGACTCCGAGTTCTAGACTCTATCTTTTAAACTTATACTAATGTGCAACTACTAATAAAAATGTTTACCTTAAATCTTATGTTTTAAAAATCGCCAATGGTGACTTGACCACAATTATAAAAAATTAAACCTAAAAAACATACTAAAAAACATAATACACCGATATATACAAATTCATAATTCATAACATAAGTTTAAGATACTACTGCTCTCCCATAAAAACCGCTTTTTCCAGACAATAAAAAGACAATTCCGATTTTACAGCAACCGTATCAAATCGATTTCCCACATCCTATATGACTGTAACGCACTGTAAACATACAGATCTATTAATTCAGACATTAAACTAACCGATCTGTAAATAAATTTGTTGATCAAAGGCAACTGTGCGTATAAGTGATAAACTTGTAATCCAACGCGCAGTCCCTAATTTAGAAAACCATTTATTTGATATGTCTTAAATGCAACTTTAACAAGAAGAAACGCTATAGTCGAGGGCCACGACTAAAAGATACCCTAACAAATTGCAAAATAAATTCTAGTTTTGTCGTTCAATTATGCCATCTTAAATAAATATGACGTCATATTTAACACTTAAAATGTTCTAGAACTTGTAAAATAATGGTGCGATTCGAATTTTAGGAGTGTTGATAGATTTTGACTGAATATGTAATTTAGTGCTAGTTTTAACATATTTCACCCAACAACTGGCCTCTAGGTGGTGATATGTGGGCGTTAGAGTAAGCATTGCATCATTCTGATATAAACTTGCGCTGCGTAAGAAAACCTAGAATCTACATGCTAAATACCAAATTGCATTCATAGTTTCCGATATCTCGACGTTAATCCGGACGGACAGACGGACAGGCAAGCGGACATGCCTTAATATTCTCAAATGGGTCCATGGGCAAATGTATATAAATTTATGTGTGTTTTGACGTTATCGTTTTCTTAATTGCTTTACAAACCTTAAAATAACGAAAATAAACTATTTGAATAAAAAAAGGATCTAAGACAGAAATTTTGTTTTTGGATTAAGTTTCGATTTCATTTTGAAAACAAGTGTTATGAGACTGTGTTGTGTAGGATCTTAAGTAAGCTTTTGGAACACATAGCATTTAAATACAAACAATTTTACATTTTTATTTATGTTTCAATATTCGATGCTGATGGGACCGTGCATGAATATACATATGTGATATTCTTTATTTGTATTAAATAATATTCCTAAATGAAATGAAATGTTAATTGTATTGGTACGTGCTCTAATATAATATTTCCAATTTTAATAAAAACATACATATTGAATTTTTAATTTAATATGGAAAATGAATACTCAATACTTTTATTGTAACGGCTTAAATAATTTACAGGATCTTATTCATTTTCAAATCTAGTTATTCAAGAATAGTTAGTTAGTTCATTTTTGTAAGCTTTTGTAAATCCTTATTGTCTAATTTAATATGTTGCTTTTTAACATAGATAAGGAATCGTTCCTTGTAAGAAATCAGTCAGTTAAATATAATTTTTTTTATATTCAATTTAATTTCTTTAAGGATACAAATTAGTTAAAATTGTAATTCAAAATAATAACGGCATCTTCTCATATTTTAAACAAGCTTTTTATGGCAAGAGAGAGTGCGAGAGAGCTTTTTTGTTATGTGTCCACCGTATTCTAACGGTGTTCGGCTTGGCTTAGAATACTTTATTTCTTCAACCGCAGCAGACGTGTTTTCGTTTTGCCATAACCGTAAAGCAGAGAGGTAAAACTAACTCTTCTGAAATTTTGTCAATTGTTAAAACCGATGTTCATAATATAAGAAAAGTTTACATAGTCGTTCGGATACCTTCTCAATTGCGAATTTTATTTGTTCAATAAACTGCATGGGCTTTGGTATGTGCTGTAGGTTTGGGTATGTAAGGGGCAGGTGCAGATACTTGAGTTTTTCCCCGGTGCCCCTTTAATTCGATGGATTCCCAAACGTGCTTAAGTGTTCCCCAAATGCATCGATAATTCGCTCATGCGGCCAATTTGCACCATATCCTTCGCCTGTGTGTGTGTGTGTGGGAGGGAGGGAGACGAAAGCAATTCAATTCGCATCAAAGTTGGCATGTTTTTTGTGTTGCCTGCTTCTTGGCGTTTTTATTATTTTATACTGCTTTGCTGGCCCTGTTTTGTTGTTGTCTTATCGATTTCTTGTGTTATTTTTAGCGTGATTTGCATATGTATGTGCGTGCTTTCTCCCCCTCTCTCTCTCTCTCAGATGTGTGTGAGTCCAAGTTGTTTGTGCTTATTTTTGCGATTCCTTTTGGATTTCCTTTGTGTTTCATTGTGTGCGTGTGCCTTTGCTGTAATCGAATCTTGGCTGCTAATCAAATGAATTACGTCGTGTGTCACTTTCAGTTTTTTGGCTTAAACAACATGGCGGAACGTAATCTGTTGGCCATCCTCCTTTTGGCCAGCATCTGCATGGCCCAAGCGTATCCGGCTTTATTGCCCTACATCTACAGTGAGTACTTTTCTTCCACCCCCTACTCTTGACCCATCTTCGCATTCCCCGCTGAGAGCTAATTTGCATTCTCACCGGCTGTGTTGAATATACAGGAAGCCGAAGTTCATATACCCTTGCAGAGAAAAATTCAATTCAATAACTACTATATTGGTGATTATTTTAATATTTTTTTAATACATATTCATTTTAATAAGTTCTCAAAGTCTTTTCTGATATATAATACGACCATAAATCTATTAATATTCAACTATCTTTTAAAACAATGAAGTAATGCAACATAATTATAAAATCGTATACAAATATAATGTATATGTTCATAAGCAATAAATGCAATTAAATTGGGCTATCAAATTTCATTTCTATGGCAGCTAGAGCAAAAAAGTTTTGTCGATTCTAGAATCAACCTAAATTAATTACTGCTAACATGTTTTCCACGAGCTGCTTACCCTTTGATGTACAAGAATTGTGGAATGGCACAATTGATTTTAGCAAGTACATATTTTCCACAACTTCACGAAAGCTTTTATTCAAAAATCAACAAAATTCGATTGGGTGGATAATGTACCACTTCCCAAATCAGATCCATCCAAGCGGAGCAGCAGTGATACGGTTTTCCCCCAAATCGAGGACGATGTGAGTGAGCTGGACCATCTGCGAAATGAACCGGGGATGGTGGTGGCCAAGCGGCAGAACGATGGTAGCACAGCCCGCACCACCACAACCACAAAGGAAAGCGTCGAGGAGGTGGCTGCTGCTCCTGAGCCTGGCCAAAACACAAACGCGAATATTCTGCCCGACTTGGAGAGGCAATTGGAAGTGGCAACACCATTGATTTCGACCACTACCACTACCAGCACCTCAGCCACCACCACAACTGCAACCTCCAAGGAAGAGGGTGAAAGGTCACAGCTGGAGGAGCCGAAGACCCAAATCAAGCCCGTGGTGGAGCCGACGGCCCATGCCAAGGTAAGTGCCCATCCCCAATCCCCTCGAGAATCCCCCCTTAGACCGCTTGGTAAACTCCAAACTCCTCTTTTGCCAAATCCAAGTGTATATCAACGAAACCACCCAAAAATCAACAGGCATTTTACGGGGCGGCTCGTCTAGCTTTTGGTCAAAATCCGGAGGTGTTGCCAACGACCACAACCACAAGTACCACATCGACCACCACGACCACGACGGCAGCTCCTCCAGCTGAGCCCGAGCCACAAGACGAATCCCAAGTACCAGCCGAAACGGAGGCTAAGGAAGATGGGGCGGAATCAGAAGCGGATACCGCCCCGGATGTGGCCGGAGAACCAGTTGAGGCGGATGATCCCGCCGGCGAAGTAGCCGAAACCGAACTGACCGCTTTGAATCCGCCCAAACCGAAACACGAATCGAACAAGGAGACCATTGGCGACATTGTCTTCGATGTGGTGGCACGAACCACGGAGCGAAGATCCAGCACGTCCAAGATCACCGCCAAGGTTCTTATAAAAACACCAAAAATAATTCATGGATTCTCATAAAAATATTAACAACATACATAATTGGCGAAACTCAAGAACAAATTAAATCCACAATCAGCTAAAATCAGAAAAAAAATTTGAATCTGAAAATTGGCAGAAAATTGGTGACACCTAGAAACAGATTCAGCCACATTCCAAAATTATTGACTATTATCTGCTATTTCTTGAGAAACATGCGCAAAAATTTACCCAAAGGATCGGAAAAATAATTGTCAGAACTAAACAACAAATTGTTTTTAAAGTGTTTTTTTAAACTGGATAATTGATAAGCCTTTGGTAAATTTTCATTTTTATTACCCCAAAAATAATTCATTAAATTGGTTAAAGTCTTACCATTTTCTCCATAAATCGCTCATTACCAATAAGATTCATGCCAAAGTCAATTCTTATAACTTTTCTTCGCCATCTATTTTTTCAGACCGCCAAGAACTTGCTACGCAGTCCAAATGGTCAGTATTCCTCGTTTGACATGGCCCAGTATATTTTCTGGACTGGTGATGAGACGGCTGTTGTAAAAGCTGTGGAAGAACTGGTTGAGGGAAAAGTGGTAAGTGGTTTGTAATAGAGTCTTGATAAAAAATACTGAAGGTTCTTTTTTATTTTTATTTTAAATTATGTTTTTGTTCCAAAAGTTATTTCTCAAAAAGAGATTACATCATTTCACATTTTCACAACTAAATTAGTTTTTTAGAAACATTTTGATCACAAGCATTTAAATTTCTGTGTTAAATTGCATCATTATATTTAATCTTTCATTGCCTGGTAGTAATAATGACTAAAGCCATGATATTTTATGAGCGGAGGTCCGAAATATTGGTAGGAATTTGGCGGACCCTGGTGATGATGGCAGCCGAATGAGCGTTTGTGGTGGTGGTGTTGATTTTCATGGTGATTCCAATGATGTCCAACTCGCCAACGCCAATAGTGACCGTGGTGTTCATGGGGGTCCTTATGATGGCCACAATGGAAGCCTCGAAATTTACGTTTATCTTCTTGTGGAGCTTCCATTTTTAATAGATTTACTTTGCTTATGTTTTATTAATTTATATTTTCGATTTGCCTCAGAGATCTTCTCTGTTTGGTTATTCACGGCGAACTGATTTCCCACTGCTAAAGTAAAGGCCTTTATATTCCGCTCGCTAAACAATTTCGCATTGGCTAAACAATAAGCGTCAGCGATAAGTCTGTTGTTCAATGTGTTATCTTATCAAGTGGTGTTTGGCCAGTTTAATGAGAGTTAAAAATATTGAAATATTTTTGTGTAATTCCCATGTAAATTGTTTTCATTCATAACTATAGCAAACTTTCATTTTATGATTTCATTCATGACTAAACAATTTTTTATATTTTTGTGAAACATAAATGGTCTTTTTTGGTTTTGCCTTTTAAACGTAATTGGGGCTAATAAACTTGTATTGATTGCAATTATTTTGTTTACATTTCAATTTGACTCTCAATATGAGCAATAGAAATGCTATTGTTTTATTTTTAGATTAGAGAATTGCTTGACGCGACTTAGTCACTCAGTTTATTCACATCTTTAATACAAAAGCAAACAAATTTAGAGGCTTTGAAAATATGAACAGTTTATGTGAAATGTATTATTAACATAATAAATATGAATATGAATTTTTGTAGATCACCCGGGAGAGCGCTCTAAAGTTCCTGCAGGATATTCGGCTGGGAATAGAGTTTCTGCAGCGGTCCTATGCCAATCGAATTTTCCCAGAGGAGGTTCGGCAGAATCAATTAAAACGACACAGCCCTCCCGTTACCACGCCCCCAACTACATCCACAACATCCACTACAACAACGACAACAAGCACAACCACAGAAAAACCATTCCCAGAAGTGCACGAATCCGGTTTCGAATCCGGGAACGCCGGAGGAGCAGTAATCCTGCCCGCGAAGAACTTTGATAGTTTCACTTTTTGGAACAAACTCAAGGTTCTGGACAGCGAGGCACAGCAAGGTAAGAATATGCCCTATACATTAAAAAACCAACAATTTATAACTCGCAGCTAATGATTTTATTTATTTAATTCCACAGACCTAAATGACTATGATGAAGGTCGGGCTAAGATTGTGGAGTACTTGTACAATGAATACTCCTTGGAGGAGATCCTCTATAAACTGGCCAAGGTATTTGTACATATAAGTCTAAAACATTATAACCATAATGTAATTTATTCCATATTTTTTCAAGGTAATGTTTGCCCAGTCGCTGTCCCATGGATCCGATGAGGCTCAAATGGAGCTGCAAAAGCTGACAGAGTTTCTAGAACGCGAGGGTAACATGGGTGTCATTCCCATTGACTTGCAGAAGAAAGTTTTGAGTAAGTTTTAAACTAATTTTGCTTAGCTCTTTGTTTTTAAACTCTGCAATATTTTTGCTGAATCGAATTGTTTGATACCGTCTTAAAAAACTCATGCATTAATTCTGAATTTTGAATTATTTTAGGAGTACTGCTTAGCGCATTGTCGGACACGCTGACCGAGCATCCGGAGTTGCTGCCGGCGGCGCGGGTTAATCTGGCCAACCCGTTCTACAGGCTTCCAATGCATACCCCCAGCCAATAGAGCCCTTTCGGGGGGCATCAATTTAATACAAATCCCTATATATATATGTTAACACGCATAATCCGCATCAGCTAAATGGCATATCCCCACTGATCGGCGCTACTCTGGGGAGGCGCTCTCTCGGAACTCTGATTTAACTCGGCCCTAAGTTCACCAGATCGATTGGCACCTTCCACTTTGGTTAACGGATTAGCCTACGTGTAATATAGCAAAATACCCTCGTGATATTTTTGGTCAGGCAGAGGCAGAGAACGAACCATTTACACTTACGGTACGATAAGAAAATCAAAAAATAAAATACAATCCAAAGTAACCGAACCAAAACCAAACAAAACTAATGAGAGAGACTTGCGCCCCTTTGAGCTTTTAAAATTTAAATAGATTACCTATATGTGTATGTCCACGGTATGCATACGAATTGGCACACTTGCTTATATTTGATATGAGTTTGTTAGTTAGATACAATGAGAGGTTGAGGTTGGGTCGCTGGCAAAATCGATGAGCCGCCACGGACGACCGATTGAAGCAGGAAAGGGCTCTGAGTCCGCCTATATCAGTAGCAAATATGTTTATAAGCGCTCCACAGAAGAGCGACTGTCGTAAATAGTTATTACTCTATATGTTCTCCCCCGAATAATTGAGCGTTTCATGCATTATTGATGGATTGGTTAAACGATTGATTGTTTTGCGAGTTACATATACGATATGCAAATAAGAACTAGAACCTGTATCAAGAAATTATCGATTATACACTCAATATACATAAATATATATATATATAAACTATGTGGAAAATCAACTTATTTAAACTATTGATCCTTTTTGGGCTCGGATGGCTCTGATTTATCGAGCAGCTGGTTAATGCGTTCTTCTGTCAACGGCTCCTTACTATTGAAGAGTTTCTCGATCTCGGCCCGCTCATCATCGCCTATATCGTTGGCATAAAGCTTGGCCAATTCCTCAAGACGTTGTTGGTTTTTCTTCAGATGTGCGGGTAGCCAGAAAATGGTCTGCACCATTCTAAAATAGGTATCCGCATTACAATGATGTTAGATGGTTTCAAAAGAAATATAAGCTGGGTGTCTGTTCAATCTGTGGTATATACTTACTTAAGGAGTACGAATCCGCAGACGGCCAGAAGAAGACACAGTCCGGATGTCTTAAACATGGTCCAATAGTCAATCGTAATTTGTTGGTGCTTCATTTTTGAGGTCCTATAAAAATTGGTCCACTCTCGCCTGAATTATGACTTCAACTATCATATGTGGCAAGTGCGACTTGGCCAAAACGCTTTGGGTTGAACTGGGAAATGTTGTGGACACGTTGTTAGGGGCACCCGACAAAAGAGATACGTGTATTACTGACCTCTCGGCACACCAATCATAAGTGTCCTCTATAAATCGATATCACACTCGCTCTGATTTCATGAGCCTCCTATAAACAGGATCTGAACTGCAAAATTGAAAATATTAACGGAATACTTCGAACATGTTGCTGCTGAAGAACTGTTGCATGTTGCCGGGGGACAGCAACATGTTGCTGGCGTGGTTTCAGCCAATTTATTGTTTTCATTTGCAATCGCACTTTCTATATTTAACAATTATCTCTTGCCAATTACGTATTTGTAAAATATTAGTAAGAATGATATTGCTAATTAAGAAGGTTGAACTTTCTTGATACCCTCGTTGTGATTGCAAGGAAATTGCGTGTGTTTGCTATAATTGGAATACTTTAGTTTGCTTTATTTATATCCGTTTTTAAAATCTGTTAATAAAATATTTTAAGCACATAACATTCTTTTAAAAAAATAAGTCTAGTTAGAATAAAGATATTTGTTTTTGTTGGATTTTTATTTTCAAGGAGTAACAATATGTGCAGTTTTATAGATTTTCTAAATAAATGATATATTCTTAAACAATTTTTCGAAAACACACAAATCGAAAAATGCATCTACGTTGAACTTAATTTGAGTAGTGGGTACAAAAATAAATTGGAAAACGATAATCAACATTTCCGTTTAGAGGGGGGTCCAGGGTTTTTTAGATTGTAAATTAGGGTACCGCGATTTTAATCAGAACAAGGAGCTGATTATACCAGGTGTATCTATCTCTATTATATATTTCGCCGATTTCTTGGGGGTCTGTGAACGCGCTTGCCAATAAATCTGATTGCGTGTTCCTATCACAATATTGATAATGGTCTGGGAGCTATAAAAGCTGGTATCCCAAAACACTCGGGTCACAGTAGAGCGATGGAAGGAGGAATGTTAAAAGTTACCTTATTACTAGCCGGATTAAGCCTTGTTTTGGCCGGTACTCGGCCAATTTCGGATTGCGTGAGTATAAATAAGTATACTATTAACTAAGTTGCATCTTATTTGAGAAGCTGATTATAACGAAATTATGCATTTATCACACATGTTTTTAAATAGATATTTTTTATATAAAATATTATTTAATTAACAATTCTTTCCACCTTTAATATACATATAATAAAATCTTTAAAATACTTTTTCTAAGGGTGAGCGCATTGAGGACGATGGCTATCCTATGGAGCGTCACGTAGTGACCACCAGTGACAGCTACATCCTGACCATGCACCGCATCCCGTATTCCCCCAAAACGGGCGACACTCCCGATCGTCCGGTGGCCTTCCTCATGCACGGAATGCTGAGCTCCTCCTCCGATTGGGTGCTCATGGGTCCGGAGAGATCCCTGGCCTACATGCTGGCCGATGCCGGCTACGATGTGTGGATGGGCAATGCCCGAGGCAATACCTACTCCAAGGCCCACAAGTTCTGGCCCACCTACTGGCAGCTCTTCTGGAACTTCAGCTGGAACGAAATCGGCATCTACGATCTCCCTGCGATGATTGATTACGTGCTGAAGAAGACAGGCCAGCAGCAGGTGCAATATGTGGGCCACTCGCAGGGCACCACTGTCTATCTGGTGATGGTGTCGGAGAGGCCCGAGTACAATGACAAGATCAAGTCCGCCCATCTTCTGGGACCCGCCGCCTTTATGGGCAACATGAAGAGCCCGATGACCCGAGCCTTTGCCCCCATTTTGGGCCAGCCCAATGCCATTGTGGAGCTTTGCGGATCCATGGAGTTCATGCCCAGCAACAAGTTCAAGCAGGATATGGGCATCGAGATGTGCCAGGCCACTTCGCCCTACGCCGATATGTGTGCCAACGAGATTTTCCTGATTGGAGGCTACGACTCCGAGCAGCTCGACTATGTGAGTACCTAAAAATTATTTTTAACTTTGGTCGTCTACAACTTATGGTCCTTAAAAGATCACACGCTATCAAAATCATTTTACCTCGGAAAGCAATAATTAATATATTTTATTTTTTATCAATATACTTTTTATCCGAATGACCGTATCTGTAGTATATACCATCTTGCTCCTATAATACTGTACTGATTTTCTATGATCATATAATTTCGAAACCTATCTAATGCCTGGTGCGTTATTCCACTTATTCAGGACCTACTTCAGCACATCAAGGCCACCTCTCCGGCTGGGGCGTCTGTAAACCAAAACCTGCACTTCTGCCAGGAATACAACTCCAAAAAGTTCCGTAAATTTGACTACACAGCTCTTCGTAATCCCTACGAATACGGCAGCATGTCTCCCCCTGATTACAAGTTAAAGAATGCCAAGGCTCCTGTGCTATTGTACTATGGAGCCAATGACTGGATGTGTGATGTGAGCGACGTGCGAAAGTTGAGGGATTCACTGCCCAACATGGCACTGGATTATCTGGTGCCTTTCGAGAAGTGGGCTCATCTGGATTTCATTTGGGGAACTGAGGCCAGGAAATATGTGTACGACGAGGTCTTGAAGCAGATGCGGTCCTTCGAATAGGTTTATTTATACCGCAATAAAATGAACATACAGGAAACATCTAGATTCATTATTCGACTTCCAATTCCATCGTATATGACAACATCTCGTGATGACCCTTGAAAAGATTGAATTTTGATTCATACCGCCCTGGGGTCATTAGCTTCTTCAAAAGATGGACGTCCAACGGATAGTCTTCCAGCTTGTAATGTTCTGCCGGCACAGGACAGGTCGAAGGGTGTGGGGCATTCGAGTACTCCTTAAGCCGATCGTAAAAGAAATCCTTGTAGTAGGTCTTCATAGTGTCGCAAACGTGCATTTCGTTGAGGTCCACTACCAGGTGGGACTCCCCACCATCCAATGGAGATCGAAAGACCTTAAATTGGATCTGTAAATGGATCGGTTAATAGTCTTCGAAAGTTATTTGTAGGCTTAGATTTAATTTTTGATTCCCAATTAATGTGTTTTAGTTGTGATGCAAATGAAAATTAAAATTTTATTTTTACCGTCCAATCGTTGTCGATATCCTTATGCAGTTTGAGTTCTCCATTTATTTTAACCACATTTTCCTCGTACTCGGAGATGCGGAGGTGGCTGTGCAGATACTCGGAGTTCTCGGAACTTTTCTCCAACGTTTTGATTCTTATTTTTTTTTCAGCGTGGACCCCAGCAAGACTGATGGCCAGGATAATGGTTCCCAGCACCACCAGATGCTGAACTGAACTAGAAGAGATCTCCATTTCAAACGTTGGATGACTGATGCTCGATCAACTGCTGTCGAGGGTTTAAAAGAAGCTGCATTGGGCAGCAAAGTGCAGCTTCAACCGGAAACGAACTTGTTCCGGATATCCCCAGATATGGTGTAATTGATATCGAAATGCAATCGGTTCTGGTTTGTTTTATTTAATTATTGCATGACAGTCTTAACACAAAAAGCAACAACAAGCAAATGCTCAGCGATTGGTAACAAATTATATTTAATTGCTAACAGCACGGCAATGACGATGAAGTACGATCGAGCTCAACTTAACTTTCATGCCCACATTAAAGAGGGTAGATCTACACAATATTCAATGCCCCAGATTTTTTTACAATTGCTCTTAATAATAACTGCAATCCTGGGATTTAATTAAATAATAATATTTTCAATCAATTTTTCCTTAAACAGTTTTATCCACAAAAATTTTAAAAATACATACATGTATATATATTTAAATATATATTTATATATATATACATAATATTTATTTTATTGAAATCTCGATATTCAAACTCGTAAATTTTAAATATTTTACAAAAAAATTTATAAAAAAGTCTTTACGCTTATTATAAAATTATGAAGTTCTGCTGTCTAAAAAAACTAGCACATTTCGGGAGTGCGGGCATGAAACGTTAACACTTAATATTTTTCTACCATAAAAGCATCTTTGTTAAGAATTATAACTGGCTATAGCTAAGTTATGTTCGGTACTTTAGTGAACGAATTGCAGCTGGAATGTTAGCATTGCTCAAGGGAATCTGCCATCCAGCCATGGGAGAATTATTGCCAATTTAGGGAATCGATCGGGATCCCAGCTAGCTCGGTGAGGTGCCAAAGTTGAGACGCAGTTGCTCGAGGAACACGAAAGTGATGATCGTGTGAGGACCCAGGCGCACAAAGGCCGGCACATAGCCCTTGAAGAAACCAAGAGGTCCCAATTTGGCCGTGTGCTTCACCACATCCCAAAGGCCAGAGTACTCGCCGGGCTTGGCGTTCATCGACCGGGTTTTCAGGACATCCAGCGGCTGCGTCAGTGTGGTGGCTATGGTTCCGGCCAACAGGGAGGCGGTAAAGTGCGTGATCAGGTTGTCCTGGAAATATGGCGTGGCCAGCAGGTAGATCTTTGTCTGATCGTAGAAGGCAATCTGGCCGATTGTCATCAGGATTCCACGGGCCGTCGCAGTGGTGGCGCCGGAAAAGAGCCGCGCGAATCCTTCCTGGCGGTACACCCTAAATAGCCCATCGACGGCGTTCTTATAGCTGAAATTCAAGAAATACAAAGTGTAAGTGGTTTTGAAGAATTTAAAAATAGTAAAGAAGTTACTTTAATTTTTAATTAAAATGTAATCATTTATATTAGGAACATTCTGAGCCAAAAAAAAATCAACTTTGAAGAACTATAACGTCAGATGAATGTAAAACTGAATGTGAATTTTAAATCGTTCACTTATTTAACTCTAGATTTTTATATTAAAAAATTTAAATTTACATTATTAAATTACCATTAGAAAAAAAGATTTTTAATAATTTGTTGTGAGTTTAGGGACGTATTTAACACATACTTTCGTCGCTGTTCCACGGGTAGCTTCACGTCGTTCTGCATGCGCACGTTGACCATGTCCGCCGGAGTGCCTACGATTCCACCGACGAGGCCGGAAGCTCCGGCTAAAGCCACCTTGCCGGCGAAGGTGTCCGTCTTAACGTAATCCTTTCCGGCCTCGTAGACCCCAAATCGGGCCGTGGAGTAGGTCATCTGGCGGAGCATCGAGGCGGAGAGGCCGTTGTAGAAGACCAGTATTCCCTGTTCGCGGGCGAGTTTGGGGATCAATTGCGCCACCGACAGGTGTCCCTGCTGTGTCTGCAACGTGACCTTGATGAGGTCGAGTGGGTGGGTCACCACGGCGGCTCCCACGCTGGCCAATCCGCCGAAGTACCACCTCGCTTTCCTCTGGGGCTTGTCCATCTTACGACTGTAAAATTCTTAGCTGCAAGGTGGTTTAATTCACAAATTATTTATATGCTTAATTGAAAACCTTCATTGTACCAATAAAAAGGTGGTACGGAGGCTAAGTAGTGTCTCTTTCGATGGGCGGCATTTTAAGTGGGTCGGTTGTGTTATGTCATGCCGGTGGGCCTTTAAGGAACTGACGGAATTTAAGGACCCGTGAAAGCAGCTGAGCGGTTGCGCGAAAGCTCAGCTTGAAAGCTTTCGGTGGTTGAATGGCGGTAACTGTTATCTTGGGCGTAGCCCTAAATATTTATCATGGTAAAAATGGGGGATTAAATATTTTGTTTCAAACAATAGTATTATACCCGCTATTCGTTGTGTGAAAGGGTATATTGTATTTGTTGAAAAGTAGGTAGCTCATATAATTATCAGGATAAAAATCCAAGTCGATCTATGTATACGTCTGTATGTTCGTATGAACGTTGAGATCTCGGAAACTTTAAAGATAGAGATTTGAGATTGAACATACAGACTCTTAAGACACATTGGTAATTCAACTGGTCAAGAAAGCAACTGGTAGAGACAAGATGTATATGGTGCATTTTTTCAAATCAAAGCATAATTTTAGACCTTATTAGAAATTTTAAGTGTTAATAACTGCTTGGCAATGCAAGCTCAGTTTGGCAGAGGGAGCCACATAAAAACCAAATTGGTTGTCACGTCGAAAGAAATGCCTAAACAGTTGAAGATGTATTTATTTAAGAATTGGTTGGTCAAAGGCTCGACATTAGAGTTTCACCTTGTTTTTGGTTACTAATGAACGATTAGTGGAAAAATATAAGTTAATTTTTAATTAATCTTAAATTTATTAACAATAAAAGTTTAAGAAACTCCAAAAAAACATTCTTACAGTGATTAATTAAAATTTTAGTTACTAAATAGCTTGCATTTGTGTCATTAAAATATAAATAAAATCTTTTAAGAACAAATCCTCATTAACTCATTAAAAAGAAATAATTTACCCTAGAATAAACACATAGATGTAAACCCCTTCCAAGACAGCGCCTATGTACAAATTGCAGTCGTTACCTTTCGGTATACATTCTGTTAGCCGTTAACAGGGCTCTTACGGCGCATAGCAGCACCATCTTTTAAGTTGGTAGCCCTGGGAAACAGCTGATCGATTCGATTTACGGTCATACTAGCACCTACAACATGTTTTTCATGTCACATTTATATATTTGTTTCGTAAACTAAACCTAAAAAGTGAATCCCTCGACCACAGTGAAGAGTTTTTGAAATCCGCCAGCCCGCCATATATACGGGTGAGTAATTGGGAAAACAATTGGGCGTCCACAAACTTGCGCAACAAGTCGCCATTGCCGGCAGCGTCTTTATGCGATTTGCGAATTTAATTTGTTTTCAAGCGTCTCGAGTGCTGTTTACATTTCGCTCTGCATATTTGGCACTAATTGCCAGCAGATCGGTCATCGGTTTTATTATATGGAGTGAGATAAAAATCGAGGAATTCGGCCCACCAGAATGGGAACAACAATTGGAGAGCAAGAGCTAAAAAAGATTGGCTATCTGCTGTCTATACTCTTCTGTAAATTCTGACCATATCGAAAAGTTAAGCTGCATTGCTCTTAACTTGTAAATTATTTTTAAATGAATTTAATTCTGCAATTGTATTTTAATGTATTTATTATTTAAAAATAATCGATTTGTGCATAGTGGTAGGGCTATCCCAATTTAGACCAATCTTTTAAATGCAACCAAATTGTATCTAATCTATGTATTTAGTCGGAATTTCTTAATACTTTGTAGAAAGTATTGAAATCGTATATATCTTTAAAAACAATAGGATTGAGTTACAATAATAGATCCATAAAAAAATGCGGTTCGATCCCAGATCTACTGTTACTAGCCACAATAATACAGTCGAACATCAAAATTCAAACCCCCTTCTGCCTTTACAAAATTCAAAATTGATTTTACAATTTTGTTTAATCGACTTAGAGGCTTTAAATCAGAGATTGGCAGTTTGACCGTAATACAATTGATCAAGTTTAATCCAGTTAGCTTTATTACTAAAAGACTTGTTCGAATTAAAACAAACAGAATGTCATATAAATTTAACGGGGGTCATGAATACTCGAAAATTTGACCTTCTCGATTTGCTTTTGGTATTAGAATGTGGTTTAAGTTATTAAAGTTTCAATAAATTTCCAGTTTAATAATATTTTCATTTATGATTTTTAAGTTCCTATTTAAAAATAAGTTTTTTTTCGGCAGTTAGTTATTCTTTGTATTCAATTACAAATCGGATTTATTATTTTGTTTACAAGTCTTAATTGTAAGTAAGACCTTGCCTATATTTGAGTCGGTAAAAAATGTGTTTGTTGACTTAACTTGTAAGCAACGTCAAGAGCATATAGGCTTCGGTTTTAATTCGTTGTGGGTACAATTTATATCCATATCGTTCTGCCGATTGTTTTGCTGCCATTTATAAACCTGAGACCCGGGAGTAACAATCTTTATAGGCCTGTTTGGTGTCCCTGCCTTATCAACCTTCGATTGGACCCGGTTACCAGGTTGTGTTTATAGATAGATAACATGTTTACCACCGATCGAAATCCCGGTACACAACATTATTGCCAGCATGTGTTAGATTTTGTTTTTTCCGGCCCGCCCGCATTTATTTATTTATTCAATTACTATTTCTGTTTGCAAACATCCACGTGCGTCGATTGCTTCATAAATTATATGCAGAACAAAACCATTCTCTTCTGGTTTTGTTTTATTCTCGTTATTTTTTTTTTGTCTGAATTTTATCTGAATATAAAAATGAGTGGCAGTGGTCAAAGTCGAATTAATAACGAATATCACATGATCCGTTGGCATACTAAAAATTGTTTTCGCTTTTAATCGAGCCCCCAAAAAGTCAAGTTGAAAGTAGATTTTACTACCTATGAACAGCTGATTTTTGGGGAGGCTTTATTTCGATCATCTAAGACTTTTCATTGCACGACACATCGCGTGATAATAAAGTAATCCGTCTGACACACTATCTCTGAGTGTGTTTGCCCGATTTGAAGCCACATGTTTGCCTTGCAAATTGAATAATAAACTGACACTGCAATTGCAATTGCTAAATTGCGAATGCAACAAAATAATGAACACTGGGTGCGGAAAAGCAGCCACAGCTGATGGCGTATTTACCTTGAACAAGAATCGCTGCCGATGATTTTCCTGGTGTTGTTGGTTGTCTACTTTCCTCGAAGAAAACTTTTTAATAAGTTTACAATTTTTGGCACACCAGGGAGCGCGATAGAGGGAGAACCACAGAGAGAGAGAGAGAGTGAGAGAGCTCAGCACGTCATCGCTGTCCACACAAACTGGTCTGGGTTTTGGGGAATAGGATTGGTCAGGGGACTTTTTTTTGCTGCTGCTGGAGGCAAACGAAACGCAACGCTTGAGCACCGAAAGCGGACTGATCGCCGCCGCTGACAGCGCGCCAGATCATGATACAATAACATAAGGTAGTCTCGTCGGCTGTCTAAACGTTCGGGTTTTGGTCAGTGCGTGTTCGTCTTTCGAAGGGAAAGGTTGTCTGCGGACGAATTTTTTAGGAAATTAACCCTTGAGCAACATGACATTTTGCAATGTGTGCAAACACGTCGATGGCGTAAAGGCACCGAAATGTTTGGAAAAAAGAGCGCTGTGGGAGGAATCGCTGTGATACTTTTAAAATAACAAAGAATGTAAAGAAACTTTAATAATCGCAACCGAAAATATAAGTATAAGTTTTTATGTCTAAACTTATACTAACATTTTCGGCTGCGATTATTAAAGGTTCGTTTACATTCTTTGCTATTTTAAGATTAGAATATATTTTAAAATTAAGAATCTCAACAAAAGACTCAGTATTCAGAGGCAAAAACAACGCCTAATTTCAAATTCAAAATTATTAAAAATTAAATTATAAAAAAATTAAACTCCTTTTTATTATGAAAGGCAAAAAAAAACCCCCTGAACCATCTAAGGGCTAATCCACACATTCTATTGTCGCTCTGCTCGCACTTACTAAACAGTTGCCATTTCACTCGCACTCATTGTTTTAATAGTAGGGTTCCAAAATTTGCCGACGAGACTACCTTATGTTATTGTATCATGCGCCAGATCCCACACAACAGCCGGCAACAGTCCGACCCGACCCTACACTAGGAAAAACTACATGTAAACTCGCCCTTAAACTCAAACGCAATTCCTATTTTATCTTTAAGAAACAGTTTTTCTTTGTTTTGCAATTATTTGTATGACTATAAATGTTTCTAAGGGCGGTGTAAATAAATCATGGAGTTTAACGATCTATCCCCATGTATTTAAAATGACTTATACATACATCATAACGTTAATTTTTGTAAACCACACATTAAAATTGTAAATAGCTATTGAGTAACCGACCAACTCCATAATTAACTTTTTTTCTTAAAAAATAAAAAAAATTTTAATCTGAGCACAAGACCAGTTGGCCGGAATAAGTTAGGCAATTTTTAACATACCGCGTATTTTATAGCTTGGATCAACCTAAGTAGTTTTGTTTTATAATAGGTTATCTAAAATAAATATTTTCTGTAAAGTATATAATAATGTTACAAAGTGACATAGTTTTGCCTTAAAAATTATTTAATTTTTTTAATTGTCCTCTTCAAGTCGTACCAATAGAATTTTTTTAAAAAATAAAAAAAAAATTTAATCTCAGAACAAGACCAGTCGGCTGGAACAAGTTAGGCAATTTTTCACGTACCGCGTATTTTATAGCCTGGACAATCGACCTAAGTAGTTTTTTTTATTATAGGTTATTTAAAATAAATATTTTCTAAAAAATCAATCATTATTATAATGACATAGTTTTGCCTTAAAAATTTGCCTTTTTTGGATATGAAAATGCTAAAACTTTTTCTGAGTGCTTACACGCTTTGGATTTGACTTGGGGTGTGTTTTATCGCGCGGTCAAGGCGGGCATGTCGGAAGTGTTCTGGCTCAGGGAACGGACCGCCATCGGGATCCGATGCCGGGATCGACTTAGTTAGTCGGTGACGGTCAGCTGGACGACACCGCGAGAGAGTGAGTGTGAAGTGGGGAGAGTGAGAGAAAGTGAGCGAGCGGTACACTGATCGTGTCGAGAGTCAACATCAAACAAAACTGGTGAGGGCATTTTTATTGACAATGCGTTGGCTCTCAAAATGTTGTTCATATGTGTGTTAAGATGATGGTATCACATAAGAACTCATAATACATGGGGAAAACGGTGTAATTGTGAGCTTTTGTAATACCTGGTAGACATTCATTATCTCATTTTCCATTCGGTTATTATGGAATAGACATGAAAATGACATGTGAAAATGACTCAATTTTTCCACCCCAAACCATTTATGTAATTTCAAGAAAATACGGCGTGTGCCCTCCAAAAAACATTAATCATGGGACTCTCAATCACCCAATTGGTAAACATTTTCATTGATAACTCAATAAATGCATAATTAACTTGATTCATAGTTCATTTCGAACAAAGCTCGACTACTTTCATGGTTTGTGTAATGCACTTCGGAGCCAAGGCTTAGTTAGAATGTTTATATTTGCCTGCACTGCAAATACTTAACGCTTCCAAGCGGAAAATCTGTTACCTAGCCGCAATCTTGGCCGAGATATGGGGCTAATGCCGTGATAAGAACTCATCTCGAGAATGAATTGGCAAATATTTTCACCAACTATTATTACCAACATGCTTAAATCTTATTTAAATATTTTTGAGCACGTTTTTGTTGCATGTTTCGCCATTAACACTTTTAGTATCTCCTAGCTATTTTAGCAAATTTATCCCTAGTGTTAAATTTTGATTAAATACATTAGAAATGAGTTTTTAAAAATAACATACGAAAGCTTCTTTGAGAAAAGCTTTTCCCCACAAAACAAATTCTTAAGAGCTTGGAGGCTTAACTGGGCATTTGTCGACCGCACATGCAACGGCCCATTAGCTCAGTTGGTTAGAGCGTCGTGCTAATAACGCGAAGGTCGCGGGTTCGATCCCCTCATGGGCCAAAATAATTTTTTCTTTTTTTGAAACCTTTTTTGTAACTTGTATCTAAAATTAAGCGCTTGAAAATCGATTTAGTTTGATACCAAAAATATTTGCACTCTAAAACCAAAATGGATTCTGAAGCATCGATTTGATTTTCTCGGCAGACATTTATATTTGTCTTTCAAGTGGCCTTTAAATTGTTTAAATTCTTGAGTGTTAAATTACTTAAATGGTAAGACTTTTTATTTTTTAAACACACAGTAATACATTTTATTCAAGAAAATATTTAGGTAAAATGACAGAGTATGCCCTAGCAAATAAAAAACAAAGAACAATTTATATTAATGCTTTATAATTTATTATAGCTTGATAAATTTACTCTCTCTATGGTTATTAAGTACAATTTTTTGAATCGTGGCCACGTGTGCCGCTGACAGCAATAATGAAGTGACAAGATGGAAATTCCCTTCTTATTCATTTTCCCTCCCACATTTTGGCCAATAAATTTCATGCTGTTGCTCCCGGTCAAGTCAAGTGTTTTTAACCTCATCGACTTGGTCGGCCACGTGACCCGTCCCGAAAAAACAAAATACTGCGCACTAAATTAATTGAACTCCGCAGATGACATTTACAAATTGACTCATGGCTGTGTTTTTTTTAATGCTATTTCAGATCCGCACGCGTAGTCGAAACAATGGCCACCTCAGTGTTGCTAGCCTGTGGACTCAACGAGCAGAAATTGCCAGGATTCGTGCACATCAGCGAGGAGTCTAATGTGGATGGCAGCTTCCTGATCAGTTGCATTTTGGGCCAGAGGTTACGCATCTCCAACGCTGGAACCCTGCTCGTCTGCCTACAGCATCACTACCAGCATTATTTCAATGCTGGTATGAGATTGGGCTACAACACGAATATTTTCCAAGGTAAAACCCTCGGGGTCATCGATGTTCTAAGCGACATGGCCGGCGAGGGATTGGCCTCCAAGTGGCTACGCCAATCCGAGGGCCAGACATTAACCGACCAGCTGGTGGAGGATATTCGAGCCCAGGTTGAGAGCAATTATGCCAGTCGAAATTCCTATACGGTTTTAATTGATAACTTGTCAATACTGTTCAATTTGGGAGCGAGCAAGCTGCAGGTTCAGCAGTTCTGCCAGGACTTGGCTGCCCTCGCCAAGGAGCGGGATAATCTGACGGTGATCACCAAGCTCAGCAACAGCGACATCTACCAGCTGACGGATAACAACGTGGCCAAGCTCGGTCAGGTGCGCATCCAGGTGTTGCGGTTGAAGAGCGGTGTGTTTCGGGAGGTGGACGGCAAGCTCCTAATTGAACGGGTCCTGGACGAAGGCAACTACGCCTGCGAGGAGACGCGCAAGGAGGTACTCTACAAGGTCAACGATCGCAACGTCAAGGTCTTTACACCGGGCGAAATTGGGGTCAAGGTCTAGGCGAAATGCGCGCCAATAATTTTACGAAATTTAATAAAGCCATTTTTTGTATATTCTGAAAATTGCCAGTCAAAGGTTTCTTATTGCGGTGGAATTTTACAGTTACACTAAGAAATCATGTTCGAACTTAAGTAACATTTTATAAAATTTTAATCCAAAAGCCCAATTATAGTAAAATATTTGAAAACAAGTTTTACCCTAATGCCTTTCTCTCTGCTTACCATGATTTTCAGGGTAGTCGCAATATATGATGGTGGAATAATTTGTATTAAAAAAAGTTCTTGTCATAAGTTCAGACATATCCTATATAAATTCGAATTCTTTAAAAAATCTATTCTATTAAAAATGTTTGATTACTTTTACATTTTTTACAAGTTTCTTAAAACAAAAAATAGTTTGACGTATTTAAAGGGAAACGTTAAGGAATGCAAATGTTAGTGTAGCCTTTTTGCGTTGGTCAATGCGCCATTCAATATAATTGTCTTTGTCCGTCTTCTATCTGTTAGCATCTGTTGACGTCACCCTTGTTGGCGAAATATTGATGAATTTATGTCTGGTCACGATCAATAAGGAGCCATGGAAAACACGACTCGAGGCGGTTACCCCGGTCAGCGCCAGAAAAGTTTGGCCAAAACTCGTAGGCTCGCATAAACGCTAAATGACATAGCCAACAATAAAAATCGGGCAATTGAATTTTTCCAAGCCATACAGCAAAAAAAGTTGATTAAATGCGACTGGTCTTTTGCCACAAATGTGCTTTGGCAGCAAAGTCTTTTTTGGGTCGTCCAGTACGAGGAAGATTTATTTATATCTGTTTTGTCCCAAAATTTGATTGAGTTTTACCGTTCAGGATGATGGCTTTCCAGTTTGTTAATTACTAGAAATTTTCCTATCCCCAAACAGTTTACGACACACTTTGAAGGGAATGTGCCGCAGGAAATTTGATA